TCTACAAGCACTTCAATCAGTTTTTAAGCTGGGATAAGAACAGCAGCTAGGACCATGAAACTTGATATTACCTGTTTTATTTCAATTTTGTCTTTAGATTCTTCAAATGTCAGGTGATAGATCAGTTATCAGTGTTTGAAACTAACCATCAATTCCAAGGCCTTCTTGTTATAACCAGTGTTAAAAGTTGAAAATTTAAGGGATTGAATTACATGCAATCAATGTTGCAGAAAATCTTTCAGCATGCAGCTGCTACCCTTTGGAACACACCTCTTTCAAGGCTTTGTACATAAATCTTTGTACATGCATTTTCTTGTACATATGAAGTGTGACTTGTCAGCGCTTTGAGCATTACCCTTGTGGTTTAAGTCAGCGTTATACAAATGCTCTTATTATACCCCCCCGCTACTAAGTCCGTCCGTCCTTCTGTCCCGAAACTTTGTCCGGAGCATATCTCTTAAAGTTTACATGCTAGGTTCACCAAACTTTGTCCGGAGCATATCTCTTAAAGTTTACATGCTATGTTCACCAAACTTCACACACATGTTAATCATTACCCATCGATGTGGCTTTTGCTATTTTATTTTTTTTAAATGTGTGCAACATGAGAGTCCGTAACATTCTTCACCAACGTCAACCTCATTGTGTGCAACATGAGTAAGTGACATTTTTTAAATGTGTGCAACAGTGAGAGTGCAACATGAGTCAACATTCTTCATCTATGTCCACCTCATTGTGTGCAACATGAGTCAGTGACATTCTTCATCTACGTCCACCTCATTGTGTGCAACATGAGTCAGTGACATTCTTCATCTATGTCCACCTTATTGTGTGCAACATGAGTCAGTGACATTCTTCATCTATGTCCACTTATTGTGTGCAACATGAGTCAGTGACATTCTTCATCTACGTCCACCTCATGCAACATGAGTCAGTGACATTCTTCATCTATGTCAGTGACATTCTTCACCAACGTCCACTTCATTGTGTGCAACATGAGTCAGTGACATTCTTCATCTATGTCCACCTCATTGTGTGCAACATGAGAGTCAGTGACATTCTTCATCTACGTCCACTTCATTGTGTGCAACATGAGACAGTCAAGTTCAGTTGTATGTCAGGTTTTCCACGGAAAACACAAAAAAATAATGTTTCCATAAATTATTACTGTAAGCAGTACATGGCAAAACTATTATCTAACATGTATATAAAGTTTAGTAGAGTGAAGGAGAAAGTCTTGTGAGCTGCTGTTCTCCTTGTCACATTATATATATATCAATATCAGTCATTTCCATGTCCCAAAGTGGAAAGCTGGGGGTATGTGAGCTGTGCTCACTTCTACACTTGTTATTATTATTACCCCTGGAACCTACTGGTCATTGTTAATATTGGTTACAGTTGGCTGAAGCTAAAATGGTATAAGATAGTTTAAGCAAGGTAAACTTTAGCAAACTCATGATAAGATTCCTGGGTACGCCCGGATTGGATCCACAGGGTAGAGTTGGTTCCCAGTGACCTGGGTTTGTCATAAGAGCAGTGTGAACTGGCTGGAGTAGAAGGTAATTCTGTTATGTACATGATGGCCTGTGTTTGTCATAAGAGCAGTCTGAAATGGCGGGAGTAGAAAGTGATTCTGTTATGTACATGATGGCCTGTGTTTGTCATAAGAGCAGTCTGAAATGGCTGGAGTAGAAGGTGATTCTGTTATGCACATGATGGTTTGTGTTTGTCATAAGAGCAGTGTGAACTGGCTGGAGTAGAAGGTGATTCTGTTATGTACATGGTGGCCTGTGTTTGTCATAAGAGCAGTGTGAACTGGCTGGAGTAGAAGGTGATTCTGTTATGCACATGATGGCCTGTGTTTGTCATAAGAGCAGTGTGAACTGGCTGGAGTAGAAGGTGATTCTGTTATGCACATGTTGGCCTGTGTTTGTCATAAGAGCAGTGTGAACTGGCTGGAGTAGAAGGTGATTCTGTTATGCACATGATGGCCTGTGTTTGTCATAAGAGCAGTGTGAACTGGCTGGAGTAGAAGGTGATTCTGTTATGCACATATGCATGTTGGCCTGGGTTTGTCATAAGAGCAGTGTGAACTGGCTGGAGTAGAAGGTGATTCTGTTATGCACATGATGGCCTGTGTTTGTCATAAGAGCAGTCTGAAACGTCTGGAGTAGAAGGTGATTTTGTTATGTACATGATGGCCTGTGTTTGTCATAAGAGCAGTGTGAACTGGCTGGAGTAGAAGGTGATTCTGTTATGCACATGTTGGCCTGGGTTTGTCATAAGAGCAGTGTGAAATGACTGGAGTAGAAGGTGATTCTGTTATGCACATGATGGCCTGTGTTTGTCATAAGAGCAGTGTGAACTGGCTGGAGTAGAAGGTGATTCTGTTATGCACATGGTGGCCTGGGTTTGTCATAAGAGCAGTGTGAACTGGCTGGAGTAGAAGGTGATTCTGTTATGCACATGTTGGCCTGGGTTTGTCATAAGAGCAGTGTGAACTGGCTGGAGTAGAAGGTGATTCTGTTATGCACATGATGGCCTGTGTTTGTCATAAGAGCAGTCTGAACTGGCTGGAGTAGAAGGTGATTCTGTTATGCACATGATGGTTTGTGTTTGTCATAAGAGCAGTGTGAACTGGCTGGAGTAGAAGGTGATTCTGTTATGTACATGGTGGCCTGTGTTTGTCATAAGAGCAGTGTGAACTGGCTGGAGTAGAAGGTGATTCTGTTATGCACATGATGGCCTGTGTTTGTCATAAGAGCAGTGTGAACTGGCTGGAGTAGAAGGTGATTCTGTTATGCACATGTTGGCCTGGGTTTGTCATAAGAGCAGTGTGAACTGGCTGGAGTAGAAGGTGATTCTGTTATGCACATGATGGCCTGTGTTTGTCATAAGAGCAGTGTGAACTGGCTGGAGTAGAAGGTGATTCTGTTATGCACATATGCATGTTGGCCTGTGTTTGTCATAAGAGCAGTGTGAACTGGCTGGAGTAGAAGGTGATTCTGTTATGCACATGTTGGCCTGGGTTTGTCATAAGAGCAGTGTGAAATGACTGGAGTAGAAGGTGATTCTGTTATGCACATGATGGCCTGTGTTTGTCATAAGAGCAGTGTGAACTGGCTGGAGTAGAAGGTGATTCTGTTATGCACATGATGGCCTGGGTTTTGTCATAAGAGCAGTGTGGCTGGAGTAGAAGGTGATTCTGTCTGTGAAACTGGCTGGAGTAGAAGGTGATTCACATGATGGCCTGTGTTTGTCATAAGAGCAGTGTGAACTGGCTGGAGTAGAAGGTGATGATGGCCTGTGTTATGCACAAGAGCAGTGTGAACTGGCTGGAGTAGAAGGTGATTCTGTTATGCACATATGCATGTTGGCCTGGGTTTGTCATAAGAGCAGTGTGAACTGGCTGGAGTAGAAGGTGATTCTGTTATGCACATGGTGGCCTGGGTTTGTCATAAGAGCAGTGTGAACTGGCTGGAGTAGAAGGTGATTCTGTTATGTACATGATGGCCTGTGTTTGTCATAAGAGCAGTCTGAAATGGCTGGAGTAGAAAGTGATTCTGTTATGTACATGATGGCCTGTGTTTGTCATAAGAGCAGTGTGAACTGGCTGGAGTAGAAGGTGATTCTGTTATGCACATGATGGCCTGTGTTTGTCATAAGAGCAGTCTGATTTGGTTGCCATCATTCCACCATCATAGGACTTGCCAACAGGTACCAACAAACAGGAACCACCAGGGACCGCCAACGTCCTGGCCAGGCACGTGTTACCACCCCTCGCCAAGATCGAGACATTGTTTGGCGCCATATTCGGGATCGCACGTTGCCAGCTGCCAGAACCGCCAACGCTGTCCAAGGCCGATGTGGTTTGACCAGTGCTTACACCGTCCGACGCCGTCTCCATGTGGCAGAATTACGGTGTCGACGCCCTTATGGTGGACCCATCCTGACTGATAGACATCGCCGTGAACGCCGATGATGGGCTGAACAGCATCGTTTGTGGTTGGTACGAAGTTGGCATGGTGTTGTGTTCTCCGACAAGGCATGATTTCACTTGCGAAATGCTGACGGGCGTCTACGGGTATGGCGTTGACGGGGGACAACGTTACCATCAGGACTGTGTTGTGCAAACAGATCGGCGGGGTGGAGGAAGCATTATGGTGTGGGGAGAGATCAGTTATCATCACAAAACCGCTCTGGTAGTTTGTCGTGGCAGAGTGAATGCCCTTTACTACTGTGACACCATTCTTCAGAACAACGTCGTTCCCTTCTTTCTTTAACCAATATCAAGATCTGCACACATTCAAGCAGGACAATGCTTGAGCGCACACTGCACGTGTTGCAACACAGTTTCTGGCAAACAACAACATTCCTCTACTTCTATGGCCTGCATTGTCACCAGATTTGTCTCCCATTGAACACTTGTGGGATTACATCGACCAATGCCTCTCACGTCGCCCACAGATCAACAACCTTGTGGAACTTGAGAATGACTTGCAACAAGAGTGGAATGCATTGCCTCAAAACATTATTCAGAGAGGAGATGTTGCACAGCTTGTGTTGCTGCTAACGGTGGTCATACACGTTACTGACTTTCCAATTTCACTCCATCTATCTTTCATGGTCAGCTGAATTAAAACTTCACTGTTTTGCTGGATTGGTTCTTGTTTCTTTTTTTTACCAATCATTGGACTACAAAAGTATGTAAAATTTACACCGATTGCTCATTTATGCTCTTCGAAATCCAAACTAATACAGGTGGTGCGTTTTCAATGACGTTTAGTATATATAGTTGGAATATTGTGTTAGATATGAATATAAGTTCATTGTGCCCAAAGATAGCCCTTGGTTAGGGCACATGTCATTTTAAACAAGTTGCAATTTCTTCTTTACACAAATTATATTTGTGTTGTATTCTCAGAGTGCATTAGAAATCATGTTGACTGTAATATATTGGTGACTCCAGGAGTAAAATGTCAACTTTTTTTTTTTTTCAGGTGGTGCATATTATATGATATCCCGTAGTTTGGGAGCCGAGTTTGGTGGTGCTATTGGGCTCATCTTTTCAGTAGCCAATGCTGTTGCTATTGCAATGTATGTTGTGGGCTTTGCAGAAACTGTTAGAGATGTATTAAAGGTGAGAATCTTGGTTCATTTAACATTTAGATTGATAAAATTCTGCTTGGATTAATGCATATTATGTTACATGTGCATATTTCTTTAACTGTTTGAACCGCCATATAGCTGGAATATTGCTGAGTGCGGTGTAAAACTAAACTCACTCACTTTAACCGTTCTATTAGTTGGGCAAGCAATAACTTCAAATATATTCACTGTATTAAAATAATAGTTCAAAAGTGTTGTTTCTACATTTTAATAGGTTTGTAATCATCAGTAACATAAATATTTCCATTTTTGAAAATGACAAAATACCATTCAATATATGTTTGTTTACAGAACAATAATGCCTTGATGATAGATGAAACCAATGATATCCGAATAATTGGGTTCATCACAATATCTCTGCTCCTAGCCATTGCTATTATTGGTATGGACTGGGAAGCTAGGGTGAGTATAACAGCCTACTGTTTTTTGTTGTTTGTTTTTAAGTCAGCAGCAGAATAGGGATTCTAAACCCAAGCAACACATGCTGAACTGAGTGAATAGGCTGGACAGGCTTGGTAGCAGGGTGGATAGCTCTTGTGCCCTGACACAAGGGGTTGTTGCTCAATATGTCAGTCATTGATTTGTCTTCACATTACTGGAATATGGTTGACTGTAGGGGTGTCACGATACACCAATCTCACGATACGATACGTATCACGATTTTAAGGTCACGATACGATGCGTATCGCGATACATAATTTTCGCGCCTTTTCATAGCATTACCTTACCGGCAACGTACGCGTGCGCTGATTGGTCCATCAAAATAGTCTAGGCAATCACAAAAGCTGTTAGTTTCCAACCTATTTTTAAAGTAAAGCTAGCTACATCTATTTATCGAGGCGGTCTCGTATAATTTTACTATCAAGACTTTAAAGGAGATGGATATAGCATAAAAATTTGAATCGATAAAGTTTTAAAATAGGAATCGATACACTCAAGCATGTATCGCGTATCGTATCGTCAGTAAAAATGTATCGATGCATCGATACATTCGCGTATCGCGACACCCCTAGTTGACTGTCATCAACAACAACAACAACAACAAAGACGAAAAAAAGAAATATAGCAATCCTATATATTTTTTATGTTGCTCTGTGACGTTTGAGTGAGTGAGTGAGTTGGGTTTTACGCTGCTTTTAGCAATATTCCATCAATATCACAGCGGGTGACTCAAAAATGGGCGTCACACATTGTATTTATGTCCGGAATCGAACCCAGGTCTTCGGCATGATGAGCAAACGCTTTGACCACCAGGCTATCCCATCGCCCCCTGTGATGTTTGAGACAAGAGTGACACATGTAACTTGGAGCTGCATCAGCATTTAGAATGGATTTCTATGGATCAGACATCATTCTTGTCGTCAACATGGTGAATAGAAAAGTTCTACCATGTGGCCTTGCTTTCCTCAGTAACAGATATTAGGAAGATGAGCCAAGAGGTAGCCTATGTGGTCCAATATTCCACAACCAGTTTTACATAATCTTGTACACCATGTCACCATGAGTCTGTATCTGATGGAATCACCACAGAGGTTGAGGGTGGTGGGGTAGCCTAGTGGTTACAGCTTTCACTCATTACATCCAAGACCTGGGTTTGATTTCTGATAGGCAAAATAAAATAAAAAATGTTGTGGTTCCGATTACACCTCTTTGAAATTTAGGGTAGGTAGGTAGGATTTTTTTTATAACATTTTTTTTAAAGAAAAGTACAAACTAATAACACATTTATCAATGTGCAATTGTTTATTCAATCAAGCTTGCAGCAATCATGTCAACTTTCTCTATCAGAGTGACCAATGTCCCTCGGTGATGGTAAAAACAATGGTATCTGAAAGCTTATTTTGTTCATACCGCCTTAACAAAAATAGGATCGGCACCAGAATTCAAGGGTCGGACGGGTAATCAGAAGCCGGGAACCACAACATTTTTTTAGGCAATACGTATATAATGTGTGAAAACACTTTCTAGAGTCCCCTGACATGATATTGCTGGAATATTGGTAAAATCTGCAGACTCACTGGCTATAAAATTGCATCAACAGAGATCTATTCTTCCACTCATGAAAAGGTTTCTTGTGTGTTCATGAGTTGAATAAACTGTTTTCTATTACTGAACAGCTTCCTGCATGTATTCCTGGATAGAAAAAGAGGAGCCATAAGATCTGAGGCCATTAATCTGAGGATTGGTTGTTGAAATGTGTGATCCAGCTATTTATGTGTTGTTCCATGTATTCTTGCTCTAGCTGATGTCATGTGGTATGGTCATCCAACATAGGCTGCTCTAATCCAGTTGCGGTATTGCTGACTCTGCAATCCGTACAGTGCCCACTCACTCCATATAGTCAGTTAAGACATTTGTATTAAATTTAATCTGTGAAGCCCATTTCTGGTGTCCCCCACCATAATATTGCTGGAATATCGCTAAAAACCATACTCACTCACTCACTAACTCACTGTATTAAATTTATGTAAATTGCATTTATTTGTTTTTAGGCCCAGCTGATATTGTTAGCTGTCTTGTTGATCGGGCTAGTAAATTTTGTTGTTGGTTGTATCATCCCTCCCACAGAAACCAAGAAAGTCAAAGGATTTGTGGGATTTAGCAGTAAGTTGAATCACTTCTCTTCTTGCTGTTTTTCATTAAACATGTATTACAGACCCAGTTATATACAATACTAAACAAATGTATGAAAATGAATTTCTAGGAATGTAAATCCATGGTGCTAAAAATAAGAAATAAGAAAGAAATATTTAAACAGATCCGTTTAATACAATGCTAAACTAAACAAATATATGAAAACGAATTTCTAGAAATGTAAATCCTTGATGCCAGTAATAATTACAGCATATATCCATAGAATAATGACATAGAGGTTCTGAAATGAGCACTGACTGGTCCTTTCCTGTTCCAGCATGCATGTAGCTGGAATATTGCTGAGTGCGGCATTAAGCTCACTCACTCACACACACTCCAGCATGCATGTAAAAGCAGTCTGGTTGTAACAGCTTTCTGTAACATCTTGTTGACAGTGGAGGATGTTCCAAGCCTTTGAACTCAAGTACATTGCTTTCTTTTCAGCTGATCTGTTTATTGAGAACATGCTGCCAGCATTTGGGGAGGGGCAGGAGTTTTTTTCTGTGTTTTCTGTATTCTTCCCAGCAGCCACTGGAATCCTGGCTGGAGCCAACATCTCTGGGGATCTCAAGGTTAGTACAAGACACATTACTTTCCTGAAGATATGGCATCTCCTTTGATTTTTAGGAATTATGTTATTTAGGAGCTGCTAAAAATGCTCTGCTAATTTAGTTTAGGTAAATGACATACATTTGAGATTTTTAGGTATTGAGAAATACCTATTGACTGAAATTATGTTCCTTAAGTAGAACCTCTACTGTTATGTTACCAATGATAATTTTGTTATTTATGTTATGTGTAAATGTTTTTTACCATAAAATTATAAAACAGTACATTATTTTATAAGGGTATATTAGTTTCTACAGCATTTCTTTCTAAACTGACCTAATCCTGTTTGGGGATATTGACAGTAGTTTGTTTCTGATAAGTTATATGGATGAAATTCCTTAGTTGTTTGCTGTGCTTTCATATGTTACGAATATAAACCATATGTGCAAATTTAAAGGATAGCATGTGACTACACTGGTCCAGTTCCACAAAAGATTTTAGGTCTATTACTACTGTAAACCTATGTCAAAGTATCAGGGTTGAGACTTATAGAGCTGAGGTCGCTTTTGGGACCATGTCCCTATAAGATAGCAACCCATCTGACAGACTTGCTCCATGTTAGATCCCGGTTAGAATTGATCTTCAGTAACCCATGCTTACCGTTAGAGGTCACTATCGGGATCGGGTGATCAGGCTCGCTGACTTGGTTGACACATGTCATCATATCCCAGTTGTGTAGACCGATGCTCATGCTGTTGATCACTAGATTGTTTAGTGCAGAATCAATTATTTACAAACCGCTGCCATATAGCTGGAATATTGCTGAGTGCGGCGTAATGCTAAATTCACTCACTCACTTGCTCCTTGTTGTCAGGATGCCCAGACAGCTATCCCGAAAGGAACTCTACTGTCCATCCTCATCTCCACTATTGTGTATCTGGGCGTGGCCTGGACCCTAGGGGGATGCATGTTGCGGGATGCTGTTGGACCCCTCAACGTGGCAGTGGGTGCAACCACTGTTGTCAAACTTTCAAACGTCACAACTACAACAGTGGCGTCTGTGGTGATGTCCGCGGCACAGAAAGCCCAAAACACTTCATCAACTATTGTATATACAGAGGATGTGATACGAAACTGCTCTCTAGCCAAAAATGGCATGTGTGCTTATGGGCTGATGAATGATTATCAGGTTTGTAAGCTTATAAATGTCATGTTATATGAGATGTTTCATTAGCACATTTCAGTGAAATGAGCTTATGTTTAGACACACTTTTCACCACCTGTCAGTAAACTGTTCTATAATGTTGACTGTTCATGAAAGTAAGTATAGATAGAACTAAGTGTGTACATCAGTCATGGCTGTTTACTTTTGACATTTGTGTGGGAAGATATATTTTTCATCAGAATCTCATCTGGGGGGATATTGATCAGCAATTGTCCTTCTTTACAAGATATGTGGCAGCAGTTTATAAAGAGTTCTAACAATATCACTGTTTTGTTCAAATTTGGTCTGTCTTATAGGTTCTTATTTTTCTAACTTCAAAGTATTTTAACATCTCAATGTGAGGATAAGAATCAAAGCCTATGCCTCTTATTTAGTCCTGATATCAGTTGATATTCAGTTTCCTGTACCAATGTTAGAAATGATGTTTCATCTGTTATGTTGCACTTAGTATTTACTCTCACAGTTGAACATATCCGCATACAAATTGCATGTTGTCTTGTTGCAGGCCATGGAGATGATTTCTGGCTTTGGTCCACTTATTACAGCTGGAATCTTCTCTGCCACGCTTTCCTCGGCATTAGCGAGTCTTGTTTCCGCCCCCAAAGTCTTCCAGGTATGTCCCTGTTGTGCCAAATTTCAGCACAGATTTCCCTGGATTTATAATAAATCTATCAGCATTTTACTATGGATAAAACAAGCACAAGTGTACTGATTCTACATGTTGTGCTCAACTGATAGTCTGTAGCAGTTGCCACCAGTCCATGGCCTAGGTATACGGAGCAATGTTAGCGTAAGGACCCAGCTGTTATTAATGATATCACATACATGTTATATACTTTGTTGTGCTCATGTGAAAAGCATTTGTCTGGTTGATTATGCACAGGCCATTGTGATAAAACTGAAATAGTACTGACAACTGTGTTAGAGTTGTTGGTCAATGTTCACTTTATTACTATGTAACTGGAATATATTTCACGAAATAGTATGCACACACTTGCACTTCCTAACATTATTTTAAGTCTTCCTACATCAAATCTTTTTAATGTTTATGTTGCTGTGCTATTCTTTTTGATTTAGCTCCATATTTTAAAAGATGGTACTATAAACTTATTCATGCAAAAATATTTGTCTTTCAGGCTGTTTGCAAAGATGAAATCTTCCCCAAAATACATGTTTTTGCTAAAGGCTATGGGATTGATGATAGCCCAAGACGTGCCTATCTGCTGGCTTATTTTATAGGTTTAGGATTTGTCTTTATCGGTAAGTTCTTTAAATTACATTTGATAAGATCATAACTACACCATGCGTGATATCTTTAACCTGCATATGAGTCAGAAGTAACAATTTATGTCATTTCTTCAGTAAGGCCACACTTCTTTAAATTTGTGATTAATGGATCAACACAGAGTGCTTTGGCTCAATTTCCAGAATATTTGCCACATCTCCTTGTTGTTTCAGGTGACCTAAATGCCATAGCCCCTGTGATATCCAATTTCTTTCTTATGTCTTACACACTGATCAACTATTCCTGCTTCGACGCCTCACTTGCCCGTTCACCAGGTAAGAGACCCACAATAAGAAATGATTTCTGTTTTTGTGCAGTTATTAAAAATATTTCTTTCTCTCTCTCTCTCTCCACTCAGTCACCCACCCAATTTCTCACCCTACCCATGAAGATCCGGGTTAAAATTGATCTTCAGTAACCCTTGCTTGTTGTAAGAGGCGATGAACGGGATCGGGTGGTCAGCTCGCTGACTTGGTTGACACATGTCATCGTATCCCAGTTGTTTAGTTCGATGATCATGCTGTTGATGACTGGATTGTCTGACTCAGTTATTTACAGACCGCAGCCATATAGCTGGAATATTGCTGAGTGTGGCGTAAAACTAAACTCACTCACTCACTCGCTCACTCGCTCATCTTGTATCTGTATCTCAGGTTGGCGCCCAGCATTCCGTTTCTACAACAAATGGTGCAGCCTGCTGGGAGCCCTCATCTGCCTGGCAGTCATGTTCATCATCAACTGGTGGACTGCACTCATCACATTTGGAGTCATCAGTGCCTTGTTTATATATGTTCACCACACAAAACCAGGTAACTGACCACTGTATCAAAAACAAAGCCATGTAATATGGCACTTTATCATATACCTGTGAATAATGTGGACCATTTTGCACATACTATAGTGGCTTCGGCATATGTCCATATTGACCACCTGGGCCGAAAATGCATATCAGCCATATCAGCCCTAGAGCTGTAAATCCATATCAGCTGTATTGCCCGGCTACTAAACTGGTACGGAATGAATACACGCAAATGCTTGAAACTTCAATAGATGGAACCTATTTATTTTAGAGTTATGATTGAAGGAGATATGACAGTTTCCTTCGCCAGTCATATCCTTCAAGTGGTGTATGATTGCAAAAGGTTATGATATGACAGTTTCCCTTTCGCCAGTCATATCAGTCTCTACTACCATATCAGCCCTTGGGCCCTCCGGCTGATATGATTGGCAAAAGGAAAACTGTCATGTAATAACCTGTAGTATCACACCTTTCTCAGTATTATATTATGTCACACCTGATGACAGATAGTACACTATTGATTCAAACCCAAGTCAGGAAATGTTCCAGCTATATCACACCTTAGTCCATGTACCACTCAGTCACAGTAATACTATGGGATAGTATAGATCATGGTGTCATATAAGTAGATTAGCTAACAAACTCTAAAGAGTTTTTGCTATTTGGCTTAAGTATCATCATATTTCTAAGCAATATGGTTATATTATAACATGTATTAGCTAACAAACTCTACAGAGTTTTAGCTATTATATATGTAACTTAAGCTTATTCATATCTTAAGCAGTACTATGTTTATATCATATAGGTATATTAGCTATCAAAACTCTAAAAGAGGGTTTTGCTATTATATATTTGCTAAGTTTCATCATATTTTAAGCTTTATGGTTACATTATAACATGTATTAGCTAACAAACTCACGAGTTCTTGCTATTATATATGTAGCTTAAGTTTTCCTTCATAAGCTCAATACTAGGTTTATATCATAGCTAACAAACTCTAAAGGGTTGTTTTCGCATTATTATACAATTAGCTTAAGTTTTCATCATATCTTAAGCAGTATGTTTACATTATAAAGGTATTAGCTAACAAAAACTCGTGAGAGTTTTGTTATTATCTATATATATAGCTTAAGTTTCATCATAACTTAAGCTCAGTACTATGTTTTTAACATAAAAAGTATATTAGTTAATAAACTCTAAGGAGTTTATTTTGCTATATACATTTAGCTTAAGTCTAATCTTATCTTAAGCTTAGTACTATGGTTACACTATAAACATATTAGCTAATAAACTCTACAGAGTTTTTTTTGGCTATTATATATGTAGCTTAAGTTAATAATATCTTAAGCACAATACTATACTCATATTGTAAAATATGTTAGCTAACAAACTCTACGGAGTTCTGCTATTATATATGTAGCTTAAGTTCATTATATCTTAAGCACACTACTATACTCATATTGTAAAAATATATTAGCTAACAAAACCCTACAGAGTTTTGCTATATATATGTAGCTTAAGTTAATTATATCTTAAGCTCAGTACTATACTAATATTATAATATATATTAGCTAACAAACTCTACAGAGTTTGGCTATTATATATGTAGCTTAAGTTAATTATAGCTTAAGCACAGTACTATACTCCTATTATAAAAATATATTAGCTAACAAACTCTACAGAGTTTGGCTATTATATATGTAGCTTAAGTTAATTATAGCTTAAGCACAGTACTATACTCATATTATAAAATATATTAGCTAACAAACTCTACAGAGTTTTTGCTATTATATATATAGCTAAAAGCTTATTCATATCTTAAGCTCAGCATTATATCTATATCATATAAGTATATTAACTAACAAACTCTAAAGAGTTGGCTATTATATAATTAGCTTAAGTTTAATCATATCTTAAGCTTAGTACTATGTTATATCTTAAAGTATTTTAGCTAACAAACTCTAAGGAGTTTATACTAGCATATTAACAAGCTTAAGTCTATTAGTCTTAAGCATTGTATTAATGTTATATATACTTTATCATAATAAGTACATGGTAATAACCTTTTATATGGCAGCTGATAAGTTAGCAGCAGGAATTCATCAGTTCAGTGCCATTTTCACACACAAAGCCAGTTCATAAACCACAGATGTATAGGATTTAGTTCATTGATATGAACTTTTCATGATGCATTAGTCACCTGTAACATGCAGGTAGAATACTGCCTTGGTATTTCGTACTTGTATAAAGGCCCGACTAGAATGATAGCCAGATGGTCACAATGTGTTTTGTGGCAGATAGTGTGGAACATTGCATATGCTTTTTTTTCAACCATTGTAGAGTAGGATGAGCTACAGACTGCAACATAACTAGAATATTGCCAGTGTCAGTGTATCATGCTTTTATTCATGATTATTTGAAATATAGAAAGAAGGATGGTATTGCAAGCATTCCACAATTCTTTTATATGATAACATGTATGCAGAGAAGTAAATATGTGTGTTTAAACGCCAAATGGAACTAATGGTAAGAGATGGACCACCATCTTTGCACATTGCTTGCACTGACCTGAGTTTATTTTTCCTTCAGAGGTAAACTGGGGATCATCAACACAAGCACATGTGTACCGTAATGCTCTGCAGTCTTCCCTTAAACTCATATCAGTTGAAGACCATATCAAAAACTTCAGGTAATGTATAGTGATTAAGGGTTTTCATTTCCCTTGCACAAAAATGATGTATTTGTGGCTTTGTGATTGAAATAAGATTTTCCCATTTCAAGCTCCTGACTATTTATTGAAAATAGATTTATTGGAATGGGATTCCTTAATAAAAGAAAAGATTTAATCTTATATAACAGTAATGTTGATCAAATTTAACTGAATGATATATTTTCCCGTCACCAGACCACAGGTGCTTGTGATGTCCGGTTTACCAGAGAACCGACCAGCCCTGATAGATTTTGTGTCCCATATCAGCAAGAAAATAAGCCTGATGGTGTGTGCTAATGTTATAGTGGTAAGTAAAGCGGGACAGAAGCTATCTGGATATCTTCATCAGTACATACGACATGAAGAGACTACAACTGCCCAGCATTATATTGACCTCAGTGTCACCAAGAGGTATCCTTATCAGCCACTCTCAGTGCCTTTTATGACAGGACTATAGTTTTTAATCCAACCGTGGTATGTTGCGTGAATACAGTGATCTCCATTCGATTTCTATCAGTCTATCCTTCAGTCTGAAATTGTGTTATTTCCAAGAAGAACTACTGCACTTGAATATTTGTGTATATGTTGGTGTTTACACTCTAGGTATGTGAAATTTCATTGTTGATTTGCTCCATATGACGTTAGAATGGTATGCTGATAAGGATTGATTCCCTACTCCTATACTATATACCATAGTCAGTGGATACTGAGTGCTTGATAATGCTCTACAAACATAAACGTTATGAAGGGTTTACCAGTGAACTATGTTGATTCTATTATGTTTCCAATGAGTTATTTCACTCGTTGTCCTCGCTCCTCAAAGATTCCAGCAAAAGCTTTGCTGTCTTTGAAATGTTTCAGCCGATTATCAAGTCTAGATAGTGAGTGAGTGAGTTTAACCTGGACCTTCATTCTTATCTAGATAGTGATTACATTGGGAATGCAATTCTTTCCAAAGAACATCCCAGAAAATGCACAACATGTATTTTGTCTGTTTCAGGGTCAACAGAGTGGTAACCTGAGAAAGCTTCTCAATACCAATGCTGCATATAGCTGGTTGAGCAAGCGGAGGGTCAAAGCCTTCTACACGGCCACTACATCCCCTTCATTTCGCCTTGGTGCCCAGTCCATAATGCATGTGAGAGTCAAGTGTTATTCTTTGGTGAAGAATATAGTGTGGTCAAGGACCTGATTGGCTGTTTGATGTGATATAATATTGTGATTTGGTCAAGTGACTTAAAAAACAACCTTCTACAACCCTAAATGTTCTTTCTGTCCAAGCGATTGTCAGAGAAATTTGCTGAATGTAAATAAGTTTTATACAATTATTGTCCCCCGCCGCAATGCGAAACGGGGGACTATGTATTCAGCGGCATCTGTCTGTCCGTCCGTCCGTACGTACGTCTGTACGTACATACGTCCCAATTCTTGTTAACGCGATATCTCATGTACTGTTGTACCCCATGTCTTCAAATTTGGGGGATAACCCAGACTCCAGTCGATTTGGGTGACCTTGACCTTATCTTCAAGGTCACCACAGCACTTTGAACACTTATCAAACTCTTGTTAACGTGATATCTCATGTACTGTTGTGCCCAATATCTTCAAATTTGGTGACAGCCTACATTGGGGGATTACGCAGACACCAGTTTATTTGGGTGACCTTAACCTTATCTTCAAGGTCACCACGACACTTTGACCTCTTTTCTAACTCTTGTTAACGCGACATCTCATGAACTGTTGTACCCAATGTTTTCAAGTATGTTGACAGCCTACATTGGGTGATCATGCAGACACCAGTCATTTCAGGCATCTTGTATGTGACCAGAATATAAAAAGTAGTAAATATAGATATTTAGCGACAGGGAACATTGCCATATCAGTGGCAAACACTTGTTATTCCCAATATTTTTATGCTTTTCTGTTCACTCTGTATGATATCTTTTATAGACTGTTGGTGTTGGCAAACTTCGACCAAACACATTGATGATGGGTTTCAAATCTGATTGGACAAAATGTGAGCCAAGTTCTGTGGAAGAATATTTCAAGATAATACAGTGAGTGACATGAATTCTGTGTTATGCCATTGATGGAAGTAGAAGATTTTCCAGAATATGTATAATGCTGGTAATTGTACTCAGCAGAATGTCTGCGTTTTTGCAATTTAAAGACAGAAATTATAGATTTCAAGAATTGAGAATGAAGTAAAATATTGTTTGATTATTATGTGATCATCATTCACTGATGCACTCCACATACAGTAACCTAATAGTTCTTTATGCACCCGCAGAGCTAATAATAAAGATATAGTTAAGTAATGAATACTTTACATGTGTTTGGGATTTCCTTTTAATGTTAAATGCTCAAATTATTTTTGTTTTCACAGTGTATAGTAATGTGATATTTTGATGTGCCAAAAACTCTTGGTATTGGCCATGTAACCATTGCCAAAATAAATCTGGGACCTCATGGTGACTTAAAATCTTAACTCACTCACTCTGGGACCTCAATTAATGGCCAATAGAAATAATAGAAATTGTACTCTTTTCCATTCTTCTCTGAGCTTTCTACATGATTTTTTCTCCAACTGAAACAATTATTCAAGTTGTGGACATACCAACATAAACACAACATTCCACTAGTTATTCCGTATAAAATTATTGCCATCAGTGATAATACATAGCTGTTGTCTTCCAGTGATGCCTTCGACCTGAACTATGGGGTGGGTCTGTTGAGGCTGCAGGAAGGCTTCGGACTTGATGTGGACATGGATGCAACCTTCATGCCTGATGGCATGACAGAGGATGGTGAGTGTGCCATTTTATCTACCAAGCATTGATATTAATCCTGGAATGTGCTCTCATGCAAGAAACTTCTTTTTGATTTGATTCAATTGCAAGCATGTCATTTTCTAAAAATTGAATTTGAGATTTAGCTTGTAGATTTATTTCCTGATTTATTTCTTGATAACTCATGCAGGTTTGCCTTGCTGTGAGGCATGTGTTGTGAGACTGTATAGTGTAATTTTTTATTTTAAATATAAATTCAAATTTGTAGATGGCATTCTGAGTTTCCCCAATCGACCACCAGGTGAGATGAAGTCACATGACTTGATAGTGTGACCTTCAGTGTTGTCCTCTTCGTCTCTATCAACCTGTCTGTCTGCATGTGTTACCTGGGATCCTTGTTGTAACTTCATATCGGCCAATTCAGTCTTTTGTTTTATTGATCAATTGTGTGTGTTTTGGGCAGTGTGGAACTACCTGCAGTCTCATCTCAGGAGTGATGAAAGAATGTTTTGGGAGATACTTACAATAAATTGGTACTTAAGTTGGTTTTGTGGATAGGTTATATATCGATCAGTGGGCGAGTGAGTTCAGTTTTACGCCGCTTTCAGCAATATTCCAGCAATATCACGGCGGCGACACCAGAAATGGGCTTCACACATTGTACACGGGTGGGGAATCGAACCCGGGTCTTTAATAATAATAATTATAATAATAAGTACATTTATAATGTGCCAGATCCAGACACGAAGTGTATGCTCATAGCGCTACATAAGAGATTCTGACATGTGTGTTGAGCGGACGCTTTAACCACTAGGCTACCCCACGACCCCATGTACTACAGGAACATGATTAACAATGTCCACGGAGTAGGTTATATGAATAACGTGACAAATGAACACTGTAGGTATGGTGCCCAGAAAAGTATGCTCTCTCTTGTAGTCTGCTATCAGGTTGTCTTTACTACTTACTGCAGGAAGAAAAAAGTGAGGTGAGGCATATAGAAAACTATTGATTTGTTGATGTATTTGTGATCAAGTTAGGGTTCAAAAGAGTAAAACTGATGTTAACTGATAAACACTGATGAACGACCTTTTTGGATGATCCAGTATAAGTCATGATATACAACCTAATCCCAACACTTGTTTGAATAGTACAAATAGTATGATGTAGATTATTGGTATCAGATGAGTACTGTAAATAGCACGGCCAGTGTGAATAGTGCAAACAGTATGAATAGCATCAGTGAAATGAATGAATGGCATCAAATGAGTACATAGGCTGTATGAATAGTGCAAACAGTATGAATAGCAGCAACAAAATGGGGTGAGAAGGTACTGTTTGAATACGTTGTAATTTCACACTAAGTTTATGAATTATCATCACCCATTATCTGTGTGTCTATATAATGGGAAGAAAGTGGGTAACAAGATATGTATCAAGCTGAAGTGGCTACAACCAGGAAGTTGTCTCCCCTTGATAGGAAGATGATATGAGCATGAAACCATCACACACAGCATTGTTGGTTATCATTGCCCAATCTCTGCTACTTTCACAAGTAACGGTTTGATTGAAGCCTGCTGTGTTTGGCCAGTTATTTTGACAATTCCAGTATAAGGCCTGATTTGCCCTATCAGTTACTGGAGAATAGTCGTCTTCACTGAGAGGGAATTTCAGAAGCAAAACATGATTTGTTTCATTTCTTTTTCATTGTTATTATCTTCATTTCTTCATACTTGGCATTTTCTTTTAATTTTGCATGTTCTTTTCAGTTTTCAGAAACCACCACTGTTTATTCTTGTGCTGAGTGTTATTCAAAATGATAGCATATTGACTATGTTGATGGAAAGGAACCTGCTCATTGCTATACTGGTTTATATACTTACCTCAACGTGTTTCCATCGGACTTTATTTCTGTATGTCACTAACAGATGTAGTGTATCTTGACTGGTCACCAGAAATGGCTTCTAGATTGCTGGTACAGCATGAAACAATAATCATTCCGGGATCTTTTACCTCCCAAGAGCATTCATCTTCTTGAGAAAGGAATGTACACAATGTATTAGTCCCCTACTGTCACTTCTGTAGCCTATACTAATCACAGTTTTAGTAGTTCACATGGCAGGACAGATTAATTATGAAAATGAATGAATCGCATGGTCTTTAATGATTTTGACTGTTACACTTGCCAAAGTACCAATATTGGACAGGAATGGAGGATCATGTGTTTTTCAGTCCTGTGACCCCAACTATGTTACTTTCAAATGGCACTGCCACTCCAACCCTAATGTACCATCTTTCATATTAAACTAGGGAAATATTTGATATTACACATTAAAAGCAGGCGGGAATTGTGCACAAATGCTAGTAATTGAATAGTCAGATCTACCATGTTTCATGTTGGAGTTTGGAAATGCGCTGATGTAATCAACTTTCAAAATGGCGTATTGGCAACCAGCGTGGCAGCTACGTGAAATAACTGAAATCAGTGACTAATTGTCATCAGTCGGTCAGGTTCATCTCTTGTCCCTTATTTACTGGCCCCTTGACCCTTGCTTAACTTCAGTATTTACATCTACCACTGCTTCTGGTGGATCACTGGAACAAGAGCCTTGAGAAATTACTGGGTGCTAGCGTTAATTTCCACCTCATGTTGTCCACACTTTGTGCATTTGTCATGTCGTTTTATAAACCATTATGATGGTTTCAACGTTTAAGATTGATGAAATATATGAAATATGATTTTACTTTTAGCTTACATTCATTGTACTATCTGTGAAGTTGTGCATATATTTTATTTTATTCCATTCAGTTTTATACGAGGACTACAAAACTGGCAGGCTAACTAACAATGTCCCATCATACCTCTCTTTCCATGAGTACGTAATGCGTATTTCTGTTCCATTTCAGCAGCATACTGGAGTAAATATAAATGTGTTTTTTATTTATAGCTGTTACTATCTACATACTTCTCTTCATAAATTTAGACTCCATAACTGCTCTGAGCCTTAACACCACCAATTGACCATTACATGTATTTTCCCTTTGCTTCTGATAGTGAAGACATGTTAATCCTTTACTGACACAAACCTGCAGCAGAATAGGTTAGACAGCAGTAGAACTCATGGTTACAGTAATATCAGTGATGGCCCAATAATGTTTCCCCACTGTTAGGTTTAAGACCGGGCATCGCCTATTTCATCAAATAAACTGTGTTTACGGAAGTCTAAGCAAGCAGATAAACGGATGTGCATGGCCTGACAGCTATAGGTGTGATACAGTAGAGTATGTTGCAATTTGAAAATTGGGCAAATTGACACCGGCATCTTCATTTTACTTTATTGTGAACCGCTTTCGGTGTAGTTGGCAAATTTGGGTGTTCTTTACTGTGAATTGATTGGAAAAATTTAAGTAACAGTTGTCTAAAACACCCCTGAGGCAAAAAGGATAAAACATCTTTGGTGGTTGTGGAGGATGATGTCTGTACAGTAACTGAAAACCGACTGCCCTCATTTCCATTCTATTAATATTGAGTCTAATATTCTGAAGGAGAGTTTATTACAACCAGGAGTAAAACATGGCCATGAACATTCATGATAATGGTCACTATCACAGCTTTTAACACCCATGCAGTAGTTTACAGGGTTCCAGTATCGTAACATCACAGTGCACACAGTGTGAGAAATAGTATCCACATTTTGCTAGTCAGTCGGGTTAGCTATGCCTTAAAGTTACTAGCCCACAAAACAATTCACTAGCCCACAAAACAATTCACTAGCCCGAAATCTGAATGAAGAAACCAAGAAAAGGATTACAAAAAAGGTAAAATACCATCAAAAACAAATAAGAAAACATGTCTGAATTTCTGAAATATTTTGTTTATAACTCAAATACGCTGGAGAGATGAGATCTACAAAATGACCCCATGAAAATGCACTAGCCAATCGGGGCAGTGACTGTGGAGATTTACTGGTCCGACTGGACTTTTACTATCCACGGGCTAGAGGGCCAGTGGCTATTTCAAACACTAAGTGCACAGCTATAGTATTACATCGGGTTCATTTACTCTTGGCACTTCGCTAATGAGATCATGAAGCTTCATCTTCCTGCTTGTTAAACATAAATAAAACGAGTTGCAGTGTTTTAGTGAACAAATTCTTGTGTACATTACATCTTGGTTATGTTGTTGTGAGGTCTGGTCGCTGTTTGCAGAAATACACATATAGCTGGAATATTGCACAGTCTGTGTCAAGCAACAAATGACTGAACCAAGTGTTTGTACATGAGCCTCAGCATAGTTTGTTCTCACATTCATGATATGGTCAATATAAAGCATCAATTCTGAAAAATAGTGTCGACAAGATATGTTATCAGTTCGAGTTAATTGGAAGTTCCTTTAGGTACATTGAACCTACTACATATAGATATTGTATCACATGCTTTTACTCAACTGAATCAAACGTCACATGCAGAGATGGCAGCTCTTCCTTCTAGAGTATAGGATGATCACCAGACAATCCATTCGATGCATTGCAATATTCTGTGCTGTGACATGGTATCTTTGTATAGATATAGCGTGAATGTAAGGACATGAAATGGACTGAAAATGTAGTGTAGATTACTTTTTTTCTGACAGTACAGGGGTTATTAGCTGTCATAAAACTTCCTCAATTTTTATTTATATGTGTCTCAATTCAGGTTTAGATGTACTGCTTACATCTCCATTGAAAACTCTGATAATTCCCTTGATACAATTCATAGGTTCTTGTCGACATAAAGTATGACGTCTGCATCATTTTCCTGGTTTTCATTACAGGTTTGGTTTTTTTTGTACCGGGTACTGCAATTCTTTTATTTTTGGAAGACTTATGTTTCAGATATGTGTAGTTAATACAATAATTTTATGAGCATAGAATGGCCATCTCTGTCACACAGAACATTTTGGATGTTTGAGCATCTTCAGAACATAAGAGCTCACTTTAGATTAACAATCTTTAACCTACACAAATAACAAGAGTCATTTTGACACAATAATTGTTTACCGGTTTGACAATGTTTAGGTCACTGATGTGATAAATTTTACGTTGTGTTTTTAAATAAGTGACTTACTTACAAGCACCACTTGAAAGACATTTGATGTAACTCAGAAAGTGTTTACATATCATGTGATGACCATAACGTTTTCTTTGGAGAACAGATATTGCAGTTGTATAATTTGGAAGAGGTATAGTTTAGCAGGTTCACCAAGACAAGGGCAGCTTTTATGCTGATTTATTTAGTTCAAAGCATGATAAACAGTACCATGGTGATGTTTTACAATCAGTGATTGTGAAACTTACAGGTTCTTGACTGACTTTTACCTTGTATTCTAGAAATGAGCGATGACGACCTCACTCCAGATGACACGCCCCCTCACCGCCTCCACAGTAGCTATGACAGGATAGACAACAACACTCCCATGCCTTCCAAGTCCACCAACCTGGTACCTGGAGACATACAGAATGGCCCCAGCAAGTCAAGGGAAAAGCTGAACATTGAAGTGTTGAAAGGAATAAATATGTTTAAGCGACACCCCAAGAAAGGGACCATAGATGTCTGGTGGTTGTTTGATGATGGTGGTAAGTACAGATCCATAGGTGGATCAACAGGAGGGATGCAGGGGTGTGCACCCCCTCTTGTGTCCTGAAAAATTATCAAATGACCATTGAAACTCTTGTGAAAACGGGTGAAAATGAACTGTACAACCCAATGAACTGTGCAACCATTATTCAGTAATCTATTTTGTTAATAAGATTAATCCCCACAGTGTGTGAGTTTGTAATTAAGCATTGCAGTAAAGGGGTTCGTGTCAGTGCCCTAATTCTACAATATGAATATTTTAAGGGTTATCCAAAACCAATACTACAGGTGCAAACTTCAAGAATCCTAAGATTCTACTTGTGTTGGTACTATCTAGAGGTGGATAGTGACATGGTTCTCTGTGCAGGTCTGACACTACTGATTCCCTACATCCTGACAACCAAGGCCCACTGGCGGGGCTGCAAGCTGAGGGTGTTCACTGCAGGCACAAAGAAGGGGGAGCTGGACAGGGAACAGAGACAGTAAGATATAGATCTGTAGGGGAAATTCTAGTATACTCACCCATGATGTAATTGTCATGCATTGGTGATTGTCAACTTTTAGTATGTATGTGGAAGTATTGCAGTTACGATATTCAGTATGATTAGATCGCTCTATGGAATGGGGTTTGGGATTGTATTGAGTTTGGTCGTACAAAACGTTGCTTGAAATGAGTGTTGTTCCTAGCTAACATGTAGACGTGGTGCTTCAGGATGGCTACTCTGTTGTCCAAGTTCCGCATCGAGTGTAAGGACATGACTGTGTTACCTGATGTCAACAAAGCTCCGCGTGAAGAGAGGTAGGTTGTTCATTAAAGTGTTATTAACCAATAGCAGCATTTCTAGTAGGCTAGCAGTCGCGTATAACCCATACACTCTTATACATGTTAAAAACTTTACTTATGGAAATTTCTTATTGGTAGAGAAGACAAACTTCATGTCTTTCACAAGTAACTAAACCTGGCTCATTTAGGCGACTTCATGGCTATGCATGAGTCATGAGGCTGGTATCATTAGGTCAAGCTAGCGATGTTAATTAAAATGTCAAATTCTTTGTCTCAGATATTGTGATGTATATCTATTCATAATATATTTATAATTTATATTTCAAACAGCCAGTGACTTTATTACTAACACATTTGGTCCATGTCTGTGATGAAAGGTTCTCCTTAAGCCTCCCTATAGATCACAGTACACTTGTTCCAAATGCAGTAATAGGACATTTGTAGAGGTGACACAGGAATAGTACTGAAAAACTGTGGAGACCTTATTGTAGACTGTTGTTAGTGAGAAATTAATAGATATGTCATCAATACCCAGTCAGATGGAGTTCAAGAATCTGGTGAGTGACTGGGTCCTGGACACCAAGGCAGGAGAGACGGAGGAAGAGTTCCCCTGGAAAACCACACAGGAGGAGATGGAGTTGCTCAAAGACAAGGTAGTATTCAACCAGACTGTGCTGTCAGATGGTTCCGTTGTGTGCTAACATTGCCAATGTTGTACAATGTGTCCAACTGATACTTTGTAAAATTTAGTGTTATTTCATATTCCCATTGTCTGTAGTCTGTCATGAGCAATTTGACGTGGTCTGGACAGACTCATTTCATGATAGAAAGTTGCAGAATACATGTACTTTCTATCCAAACCACAACATAAGTACAGTGGACTCTGTCAATACCGGCCTCTCTTAACACCGGCACTCTGTCTACATCGGCACAAAGTTTCGGTCCCGGCAGAAATGCACGTTATTATCATTTAGAAACTTCTGTAAACATCGGCATCTGTCTATTCAGGATATCGGCATTGTTTTTCAGTCCCAACGAACAAGTTGTTATGAAAACGAATCTGTAAAAACCGGCACATGAAAGACGGCGTAACCCTTTGATGCAATTAGGTCCAAATGATGTAAAAACACAATTCGCTGTGACTCCCGAGATTATTCAGAAACGGGAAGTGTTAATCAGTATCTTGTTAATCAGTGAGTGGTAACGTAACACTTACCCAGAGTAATTAATACATGTAGTGGGCAGTTTGACTGTATAAACAAGCAAGTGTTTACATTTTGTTGATTCGCTGGTATTGACTTCGAGATTATTCAGAAACGAAGTGTCAATCAGTTTCTTGTTAATTAGTGAGTGGCACGTGTCACTTACATAGAGGCTTAATCGTTTGATGCATGGTATCGCTCGAAAGCTCTGAACATCAACAATATCACTGTACTCTTGCCGAGAGTATTTTCACATTTGTAAGAAGCGATTTTATTGGATAAAGATTGGTTTCTAACGACGCTTTTCACTACACTCTGCTTATAAGGGTCGTGATTGGTCAAAATCAGACACGTGACCTAAGCAGCCAATCATATTATGGAAATGGATACCTTCTTCGTAAAACGAAAAACTTTTAGATTAAGACGAAAGTTTTGGTAAAATAATGCTATTCTGAACATATTAAGAAAGACATCGCTACCTATACATGAAATTATGGAACGTATTGGACATATCGTGCTAGGTTATGGCCTATGACAAAAATGCTTCATGCATATATTTTCACATTAAGCATCGCGGTGAGTGGGCGTCAAGACGGAGGCGGTGAAAGCCGAGATGTAACTTGTCAGTGACTTGACTTACATTGCATGATCGCACAAAAGTATGGAAATAGTAATTTTATATGTACGTTGGACAACTTTTATGAATGTTATTGTTGATTTCAATTTATTTAATGATTTCCTCGATGTTTGAAACATCGTTACTTTGCTCTTTGACAATGCTATTGTAGACCCGCTGTCGAAGCATAAACAAGAATCGTTGTTTTCAATAACATTGCGAAAAATAGTTTATAATTTTAATTCTGCCGATAATATATGATCGGTTGAAATTTAATAAGAGATTTCAGACATTTTTATTTGATTTAAACAACATGAATGTGCATTCAGACACTGCCTTGTTTCTTATTCAAACATCTTGTTAATGCTAAAGTGACAGTACGACAGCGAACTTCCGTGTGCGCAGGCGTCATAGGCGAACTTAGCTAAACCGGCACTCTGTCAAAACCGGCATTTTTATTTGGTCCCGACTGATGCCGGTATTGACAGAGTACACTGTATACGTAGAGAAACAAATAAAGGAACACAGGAAAATTGAAGCATTCCTTTATTATTTTCCAGTTTAACCCATTCAACACCGCAGGCCGAATAATCGGCCACAACGTTATGAGTCCCCAGACACCGGAGGCCGATTAATTGGCCAGGCAGTAATCACATCAAAATGAGACATAATTTTATAAACCTACCTGACTTATGATTCATATAATAATTCTATCATATTTCACATTTCAATTGATCATATATTATCGGCAGAATTAAATTATAAACTATTTTTCGCAATGTTATTGAAAACAACGATTCTCGGACACATGCTTCGGCAGCGGGTCCACAATAATATTGTCAGAGGGCAAAATAATGATGTTTCGAGGAAATCATTAAATAAATTGAATAAACCAATGAATAAAATAAACAACAGCATTCATAAAAGTTGTCAAACGTACACATAAAATTACTATTTCCATCTTTTTGTGCGTTCATGTAATGTAAGTCAAATAAGTTCGATAATTTACGTATAGGTAGCGATTTTTTGCTTAATATGTTCATAATAGCATTATTTTACCCAAAACTTTCGTCTAAATCTAAAAGTTTTCGTTTACGAGAACGGCATCCATTACCGTAATATGATTGGCTGCCTTAGGTCACGTGTCTGATTTTGTCCAATCATGACCCTTATAGCAGACTGTGACGAAAAAGCGTCATTAGTAACCAATATTATCCAATAAAATCGCTTCTTACAACTGTGAAAATTCTCTCGGCAAGGGTACAGTGATATTGTTGATGTTCAGAGCTTTCTAACGATACCTGACATCAAACGATTCGCCTCACATGTTATTCATACGAAGCTTCGAAAACGGAGGTATTTTCCGTTGTTGTGTCATGTTACCGAGCAGAAAGCCACTGATATCGGAAATAGGCGACCATACATATTATTTAAGAAATCTATATCTATCTATATAATTTTCTGATTACATAAAAGAAAAAGGCACAGGTATGTTATGACATGTCACAAATGGAAAAAAATCGCCATAGTTTTTGCTTTTTCATGGTGTATCTGGACATTATAAATGTAAGCTTGCATTTTCATTAAAAAATAAATTTATTTAAGTTGTAGTTCTATTATTTGAATAACATTATAAAAATAAACTTCATATTTATCAACAGTGGGATTAGATCTTTTAAATGGTGTATGAGATGTAGTAGCAATAACGTTTTACAAGCTTATAATTTCCTTCATAAACATAGGCTTCATCTATGACCTTAGAGTCTCTGGGAACTCGGTGTCATGACAGTAAATGCCTCTGGTTGACTGGTGTTGAAAGAGTAAAATCACCACAATCATTCAAAGCTGGTGATGGAAACTAGGAAATATTAAAGGAACACTTGAATTTTCCTGTGTTCCTTTATTTGTTTCTCTACGTATATATTCTTGGTTTCCAGCAGAAGGTTTTCTAAGTAAAGAAAATCTGTTTAGGGAACATATATCTACTTCTGCTTATCATGTACTTGACGTGACATACCTTGCTTCAGCATGTATTATGTCACAAAACCCTTCCTAGGACAGCATGTCATCTCCACAGCACTTGTTTCAATGGATGTTTCTGTTGCAGACAAATCGCCACATTCGACTTCGAGAACTGATGCAAGAGAAATCACGAGATGCATCCCTGATAGTCATGTAAGCTTACTAGTATTTCTTTTTTGACGGAGCTGTAGTGAACAAATATAGTTGACATGTTGTTGAAACTGAAATGTTTTTGAATAATCATCAATAGGTAGTTATGTACACCTTCTATGTTACCGTAGTATAAGTAAGGATAAAATATGTGGGTGAACAGCTTATTTACAATGAGGAGTGTGATAATGGTGTTAAAATCTACACCAAAACCTTGCTTCTCATTGTAAATAAAGAAGTTGTCCATCCATATATTTTATCCTTACTTATTGATCCAACTTCTATAAGCCTCTCAAACAAGTTACTATAAGTATACACAAGACAGTACAAACTGTCATACGAACTGACAATACGATGATAAAATTGATTGTATATTATGTATTCAAAACTTTTTAATTTTCAGGACACTGCCTATGCCAAGAAAGGGCACCTGCTCTGCTGGGCTGTACATGTCATGGATAGACACTCTTACGAGGGACATGCCACCTATACTTCTACTTAGAGGCAATCAGACCAGTGTGCTCACATTCTACTCATAGTACACAGCCATGCAGGGCCTTGACTTGACACAGGCACCATATTACAGCTGGTGGCGATTTAGGCCAATGTAGCTAACTGTGGCATTCACCAACCTCGTCTCCAGTCCAGTGACACTTATGCAGGAGTTGGGATATACACTACTTAGCTCATATATAGAACATGTGATTAAGACTCCTTAGAGCCAAGGTTGTTATGTACCGATAGTAATGATGTTATATGTGTATATAGGCTATATGGAACAAAGCATTTATGGTATTTAACACAATATTGTGGCTTGTATTGTGAATACAAGGACTATGCATTTATTACAATTAGACCAGTAAGTGCAATTTGTTCTGTGCTAGTTGAGCCTGGTTTGACCATATGTACAAGAGCTGAAGTACAACAAGGACCACAGTACAAGGGTCTCAAGTACAAGGACCTACAACCGCTGGTCTTAAGTACAAGGACCTACAACCGCTGGTCTTAAGTACAAAGACCTACAACCGCTGGTCTTAAGTACAAGGACCTACAACCGCTGGTCTCCAGTACAAAGACCTACAACCGCTGGTCTCAAGTACAAGGACCTACAAACACTGGATTTTCAAGTACTAGCAAGATGTCAAAAGATCTGTTGCATTTGACCAACCAGGAGGGCTTATCGTCCAGAAGTGCTATTGCTGAAGATATATATTTTATCATGTCATAATGGACTTGGAATCCTACAACTTGATGCTTTCAGATCTCTTTTGTTTCAAAACCTATCAAGAAATTAAGTTTCACCATGGTTTATTAGAATAACAGCAATTTTACAGCCGAGGAATGAATCTCATTTACACCTGGCACACTAGTCCATATTGAGAATACTCCTTTGAATATTCTTATACATGTACTGTTCAGCATTTTATTCAATGAATCTCATGACATCTTACATGCAAGTATACTTACAACTGACAAGATAGCATTATAGTGCTTCGATTGACATGGACCAAACCATATCTCTCTTGGAGGAAAATGATTGCATTGCATAGTGTTGTATTAGACGGAAGCATAATAATTGTTCTTCTTTTTAAGAGATAAAAATGATGTGATTATTGCTATGAGTTACGCATTCGCTTTGTGAGGCAAGTTATTGTTAAATTCATATTCAAATGAGAACAAATGTTTTATGATGTAATGTTTTATTTATGATTCATATGATGCACACTAATATGGACCCAAATCTTCTTGCAGAAGAGAAACAATATGTTGATGCATCTAAACTCCTAAAAGCAGATGATGGTGCAAAATGTGAAATCCATATGCCAAAAATATATTTAAAACATGTAGATATTCAAAACACATTGGAGAGGTAACAAGTGGTGAACAGTATGATCAGTATGTAATATTTGGTTTACAGTATATTTTTTATAACGACCCAAAGTATTTTAAGAAACACTTTTTTCTTGCTGTCTGAGGGAGTATGTTTATGATTTACTGCAAGACAATAAATTCTGTTAAAGCAAAATCTGTCACATGATGTGGCCTAAACAATTATGACTTCAAACTTAGAAATTTTGAAAAATCAATGGCTTCCAGGTGTATCTTAAATTAGTTGCCAAGAATACTTGCACTGTCACTCCTGTATTAACAAACGTCTCCCCAAGGGCAGGAAATCAAATGGTTATTAACCAGAATGGTATTTCTCTCAGCCTATAATACAGTCCATGTTAGAGCCCTCTTTTGTCCACTTGTCAGGCATTGTTGACTTTTCAAATGATTGATATCCACTAAATAGGTACAACTGCATGGAACAGGCCTTTTAAGTAAATGTATTTTCACCCTTTCAATATGTAGTGTTGTTGCGCCACAAAGACTATGGGCCACCTGATGAAGTGATGAGCTGATTGTTGGTAATGACAGTGCGTGTAGGTATCAGATCTGTATATAGAGTTATAGTACTGTACAGATGTGATTGTACTGTTTTATTTATTGATTCTCAAGGAAGGTGACGGTTATACCAATATGTGTATGACTGAGATAACTGGAAGCAGGTGCTTGTTTCTGTAGGCTGCTGCTGTATATAGTATGGAGATGCTGACTGTGTCTGCATCTTGAAAACGGTTGTGTTGAGCCATCATTTCAACAGAAATGGGGTTTGCTCTGTGTTTTATCTTATTTCCCAACCATTGTACATAGAAAAAAAAGACATAATTGAAATATGTGGAGTTCAAGTGAGATTATTTCATTCTGTGTATTGTAAATTTTTGTGCCTTGTTTGGATTTTGTTTTTGGCTCACAATTTAAATTATTTTCAACTGTTTGAAAAGATCTGCAGTGCTAACAATGTGTTTGTATAGATCCATAACACTTTATCATAAGGAATTTCCAGGAAATGTGCTACATGCTTTAGTCTTTCAATACCTTATATCCAAATTAGCAGAGGAGAAAAGTGTAGTCTCCAACTGATGCATTTTTATAATTTCTCCCAAGTTTTGGAAGTATTATTCAGTGATGCTAATTATGTTATGTCTTGTGTTTATGTTCAAAATTATGTTCAACTATTTTATGATGGTCATCCTTATGCTGGATGGTGATCTTCAATCTTGTACAGTTACGTTTTAGAATTATTTTAAATTCACTTTTCTGTTTTGATCAATCAAATGCCCCATGTAATTACATCACAAATCCTAAGTAAACGTTACGCGTTGCATTTATGACATGACAAATCTCGGGGAGAAATGTGTTTCGTAATCTTAGTGAGGGATTGTTTGGGAAATTGGTATTGGGTACAGATTATAGAATTGATAAAGCATGGTAAATAGGGTCCAGTCTTAAGTTGTTAATTTGTTGTTTGAAGAACTTATTATTTTATGTGATTTACATAGAGGTCCAATTTGTATTAAACTGTTGCATCTCTCTCACAGGTGTGTTTGACTTGTGAAGACAGCTTAACTTAGACATAGAGCTAAACAAAGTGTTGTGCTAGTTGTTCACACATTCCCCTCCAATAGATGATAGTTGCTTCAGAACATAATCAATCTATTGATTTGTCCTTTATTATTAGAAAAGAATTTCCAAGTCATATTATCATGATTATAAGTACAAAAGTCTGTAGCTTAAAGTAGTTGCTACCATTAGAATGGATAATTCTTCAGTTAATGACGTAATGAGTTGCATTTACATTCAGAATAGCTGCTTTAGGAAAATTACCATAAATATTTTGTAGTAGTATGATGGTTCACAGTGTTGTAGCCATTGCTGTGTAGGTACAATTTCTGCATGTATGTGGTAAAGGGTTTACTTCAGTCTTAGAAAATAATCACAAAACGTAAGGCTTAGGGTCAGATTTTATTCAAGCAGAAAACATGTGGTAGTGTTACCGTGATGTCTTGTTTCAGAATGCAAGGCTTTCATTGTGGATGTTGTATATCATTGAGACAAGGGTTAACCTGCCATAGTGGATTGTCTTTCATTTCAACATATGCAATACATCATGTATGAATGTCATGTACATTATGTTCCACAGATTACTATGTCTACATCAATCATGGCCATGTATTTATATTTCAACTACATGTATTCCATTCTTGAGATATTATATTTCTCTTATTTGAGGTTGCTGTTTTTGTTATTGCTGCTTGATATGTTCCATATCAGCGTTAACTTTTATGAATCAGGGTTATGTATTCCATAATGACCCTTGACAGGCTCGGCTCGGCTGGGTGATATGGGCAGGGTCTTCCTCATCATAATGTCAGTGAATTAGGTCCACTGGATGAAATCTTTAACACAGCAAGCATTGTTTGCAGAAGCCTTTGCAGACCTGCTTATCATGTTCAACAGACAATATATTAGCATCTTTAAAAGTTACATTGTACATTTTATTACTGGGTTTTATTAATAGATACTGACATTGAAGAAACATGTTTATTTTCTAACTGATCTTGCAAAATAAGTGTTATTTAATCGACATATGTACAAAGAGGAGTAGAAAAGGTTTGATTACTGTTCCAATATTGGGAGATACAGATAATGTAAAATTATGGGTTTTGATCTGTAAGCCAGGTAAAGTTTTGATTTTTTTCCTGAATTATTTACACTTGATAAATTATAAGAAATTGTCTTGTATCTGCATATAGGTATGGTTTAGGTCTGAGGAATACATAACCTTGTTTTCTGAAAGTGGTCACTTTGTCGAATGTTTTACATCTTGTTTTATTCAACTGTTTTATTTTCCACTTGGTTTATACTTCCATATACTGTTATGTGCAAAAGTTTCTTTCTGGTGCTCAGCTGTTGATCCAGCTGTCCTGGTGTCTTGAGTTTCAAATGCAGTCCCAACTACCATATTCAACCTAATAAGTACTCTTCTTACTGTATATAAGTTGCAAGGCAAGGGGTACTTGACCTCGCTGCAACATTTCATGTTAAAATCTCATGAAGGATGAGGTAAGGTAAAGGCACTTCTTGACCCACAAGAAAAAGAAATTATTGTTGCATAAACTTTAAGTATTGCATTAAAAATGAGCAGGCACGTTCATGTGACTGATACGCCTTTTTGTACTCAAGACATAATAAAACACAGATGTAAAAGGCTTCAGTATGTGATATGTTTTGCAAATTTCACTGTATCTTTGTTCTTCCTTAACCTTCATCACTGAACATACGATGGTTAAGGACACACGTAATAGAAACAAGTTTCATGAAAAACTCAGTTGGCATTATAAATCCACAAAAAGAAGTGTAAAAATGAACATAGTCTAATTTTTCTGCAATGAAACGTCTTCTTAATTACATAACTGTTCCTAAAACCAATGCACATTCTATGCATATCTTGTATGGCAAAATATGGTCCTCTTCCTACTTCAATTGTCCTAACTGGGCTGCTCCTTAGGATAGGGAACACTTACTTCATCATATATGGTATCTTGTTTGCATTTGGACAGAGATAATCTGTTTGTGGGCATTTAATAAAACATTGTTTTTACTCTATGATACAAGAAAATGTCATACTTTGATTTGAATCAGAATTGTGCCACATATTGCTGCAATCCATGTCATATAGTGCTGTTTTCTTTATGCAACTTGCTTATCTACACTGTCTCAGTAGTTGCCATAGCTGTAGATTTCACATACTATCTCATCTCTCACACAAGTGTCATATGCAGTTTTGTTTTCTCATTCATATCATGTACGCCTAACAGCTATACTAGAGTTATTACGTAGTAGTAGCTATATTACATATGGGGATACATTACAGAATATATACCTCCTTTCAAAAGTTTAGTCTCACTTAAAACACTCACTATATGTTATGGATACACAGACACACACACACATATATATATATATATGGTTACATCGAAGATTGATATCTCCACTAACTTGGAACCAACTGCAAAACTTATGCAGATGAATTGCACGAGGATCATGCATCAAATTGCTGAAAATCATGTGCAAATATTGTGCATGTGAACAGCTGCGTTTTGATGTAAAGTTTTGTTGGGAATTAGCCAATTTTCACTGATCTTTATCGTTTATTGAACTCAAGACAATAATCTTTTTAACTTTACGGGTTTGTTTTACATCAGTTCATGTGTAAACAGTACCTTAAACAGTATAGAATATTTTGCAAAATTAGTTTAGAACAGTTGCCTGGAGTAAGTGGCTATATTTACACTAGTGAGTCTTAACTTCTGAGAGGAAGTATATTTATGCATATTTTTCTTTAATAAATTGTGACCACAATCAATGTTATGGGACCCTCTTCAAACAAAGGCCTTGACCTTGTAGTATGTGTCATTTGTGAAATCGAGGCAGTCTTTTTATGAAAGAACACAATCCCATCTGTAGATGACTGTTTTTCCGATACAGAAGGGTATGGTTAAGCCTGATCTGGCGATAAGTTAATTTACCCAGGCTTTGTCTCTTAGGCTTCATTACACCAAATCTATATTACTATCATGTGCCAATAAGTTATCATTCAAGGATAGTGTGACAAAATTCTGAAGGCGATTTGTGTGATATGAGTGTGAGGATTAGCTTCTTAGTAAGATTTAAGCGTCTTTGTGGCAAAGAGATTTTTCCGAGAACTGTCCCGTAAGATTTTGTTGTACCACACCTATGCAATACTCCTGTAGTCTCTCACACAAACATGTAGAATTATGACTTGTCTTTGTGTTATGATTCATGTTGGAGTCACTGTCTTGAGATCTGGAATTTTGTTCTTAAAGTCAATATTATTTGTTCCATCACTGAAGTCAGATAAGTATTGAATTGTCTTCTGTCTGCATCCTTCATCAAATAGATGACACACCTGTTCAAATAAATGCCAAAAATATTACATACTTTAACAGTATGATTCACTTTGATTGTTTAGGAGGATTGTTGTGTAGCCTAGTGGTTAAAGCGCTTGTCGCGCCAAATATCCAGGTTTAGTTCCCCACATTGAAACAATGTGTGAAGCCCATTTCTGAGGTCCCCAACCATGATATTGCTAAAAGTGGCATGAAACCATACTTGTTTGTTATACAATAACTTAAATTCAGCCAAGAGCTTGTATGTGATTTAATTTTAAATGTGACTGTTGTGATCATGGTATGGGCTTATTGCAAGGCTTTTTTTCCCTTTGAAGTTGAAGTTGCATTCAGTTTTGAGTAGAAATATGTAAGTTTTTAAAATTGTTTCTTGTATCAGAAACTTTACATGACTTTGAAAGAAGTTTGTTGGCATTTGTCTGGCTACAAAATGTTTCAAGATCTCACATTACTCCAGGTTTCACTTAAGTTTTTCTAATGGGATCAGAGATTTATCATAGTTAATACTGATCATGCAATTACGCTTGCACATGTAAATTTGTCCTGTACATAATGTAATTAGCAATATGTCCACACAGATAGACTATTTTGTGATACTGGAAAACACTGCAGCAGTCCGTACTGTTACATTCAACCAACATATACATTATGAGATTTGTCACACTCCTGTTGAACAACCAATTGTTTTTGTTATGACACTTTTTGTGTATCAGCCAGTTAGGCAGACCCTAGCTTGCCTTGCCATCTCCACGAACGCCTGCGATCTGGTTACAGGGTTCGTGGTCAGATACTCAGTTACAGTTATCTGTTGAAAGTTCAGCCATCCGTACCATGTGTGTGGCTTTTTCACATGCTCTGAATGTATAATTGCCATCAATTTATCTGAAAAATTCACAGCTACATTGAAAATGTGATAATGATCATATCCTGTCATTTTGGATTATCTTTGACTTTCAAAGAAAAAGACTTGGGCATGTTATAATATATCATACATATCACAGTTGCATTTAATTTGTGAGGCCATTTGTGGGCATATAACTGCAAATTAGCTACATATGAATAGGTTTCTTTGACGATTGGCCTGATCTTCCAAAACTATTCTTTAAGTGTGATATCACATATCTGAGTGTTATTGAGATCCATGCATGGGGCACCAAGCATTTGAGTTCTACCTTTAGAACTGAAATTTACATTTATGAATTATATATTTAACCGTCAGATTCTTTGGAAACTGTTCTGGATCTCTGTCCATGCCCCCTTGCTAACACGCCCTGTGCCTGATGCCACACAAGGTTTTGGAATGTCTAGTTGTACTATCCAACTATCCAGGTGATGGTTCTATACATGTTATCTATGTTTATTGCTTGACACGGACGTGTCCACATCTTAGTGCAATCTGTTACCATGGTTACTGCTTACCACGTTATGCCCCACCAGGGGGCTGTTGACATTACTGGTACTCAAACAGGGTGAATGTATGACTCACAAGTACAAATCTGCAATAAAAGTTTAACTATTGTCTGTTGATCTGTTGTCTGTGCGAAATAATATTCATATAAATTTACAATCTGAAAACAGCATGTTTATTCTGGTAATCTGTATATGATGCATTCAATATCCTTGTATGTACAGGTATTCTAAATATTAACAAACTAAAATGTAGCTTTTCACAACTCAAATGATAACTCAAGGCATAGCATACTGAGGCATCATTGCAACTAAATATAATGAACTTAAGTCATTACAGTATTCATTTAGCCTCTTCACAACAGCCAGTTGTGTGCTCGGGACCTATTCTAAACCCCAAACACCGCCTCCATGTGCTGGTGGAGCACCATAAAACTGGCAGTAGCAGTCCACTATATCGCCTTAGCCAGCTGAGCATTAGAGGTACAACATTTACATCTGTATGTATACATCAACCAGTGAGAACAGCTACAATATTCAATTGCAAAACATACTGTTTGGGTTAGATAGTAACAATGATTTTACACATTTTGGAACATTTTCAGAGTTCTTAATTTTTTACTATTAAACTGGATATTCGTTTTAGTGTATAAATATTTGTAAATTACTGTTTTCTCTCATTTTCCAGATAAATAAGTAACGAAATTCATCAAATTTCACAGAGCTAAAAAGGAATCGTAGAGAATTTTAATTATGCACAAAATAAAAACAACTTGTCTCAAGGAAACTGGATTTCACATTCACTAATTTTCCAAATTATAATTAGAATAGACTTGTGCCTTTAGACATTTGTACAAGCGACATCAACGTAATTGAGGAAACATCAAAAGGCATAGACAATGGCCAAATAAGGAATACATTGTAGTTACATCCGGGGTGTCATGTTTGATATTTAATGCTGCACTCAGCAATATTCCAGCTATATGGCAGCAGTCTGTAAAAATCAAATCTGGACCTGACAATCCAGTGATCAACAGTATGTGGGGTGTCATGATATCATTTTGTGATTGAATTAAATATAAATGTGACACCTAAACAATAATGTGGTTATGTTGATTAATATACAGTTAAGGTCTTTCATACTTCACACTAATAATGGTTGAAGACAAACAAAATGGTAACTGGTAGTTTATACAAACTGGTTATACCCATTAAATTAAATATGGGATTCATCCCATTGTAGCACCAATATGAAACCGGCCATCCATTTTAAATTAAGGTAAGAAACTTGGGGGAGCGGAGAGCGAACTGGCTAAAGCGCCAGGCTAGTGATCCAGCGAGCTTGAGGTGACGGGATCAAGCCCACCTGGGACCGGGTGTAAAAACCTTGGAGTCAATTTGTGTGCAGACTCTTTCAGTGTTGTCACAACCCCTAGTGTACGGTACACAACCCTGTGCACTTAAAAGAACCCACGAATCCGTTGGTATATGACCAGATGGTGGCCACATGAATACGTGCAAACACCCAGTTGCGGGTACAGCAATGTGCAGTAAACTTGGACAAAGTACTGTGACTATGTGTCCCAGTCCACCCAGCTGTAAATGGGTACCTCGTAAGGATGGGAATGCCACATATTACTCGGTGCGTCTAGTGGCTGCCAGAGTTGTATGCTCCCCAGGGAGTTGAGATTGACAATACGATGTGCCGTTGAGATTGACATCCAGTGAACGAGGGAAAAACAAAGCGCCTTTGAGCAGCTGAGCTGAGCTGGATATCGGCGCTATACAAATGTTAGTATGTATGTATGTTTGTATGTATATGTATATGTCCGGAAAATTATTTTCAAACCTTACAGCAATGTCTTAGAAGGGGACAGCAAGAGGGGCATTTTGGTTCAAACACAATCGTATATTGTATATGTGTACACTTTGGAAGATGACAATGGGTGTAAAAACTGTAAGTGTAAGGATCCACACAGTTTAAGATGGCTGTTTGAGTTTGCTTGTGATTGAATTATTTATTTATTAAAATTAGATTTCAGTATCTACGAAAATAGTTTTTTTATACAGACAGACTACAGTTATTGTATGGATCAGTCTCTTTCAAATTGCTATTGATGTCATGTAATGCCTGGACATCATGGAACGGCTATGCGATTTTATAGAATTTGTGACAGTTATCTGTCGATAAAAAATGTTAAACAATGCTTAAATAGATGTTCATGCTGATGAAATAGAATGCATAGAAAAATGAAGCGCAGTAAATATGGTTGAGTACAGGTCAAATGGCCATTAATTTGAATATCAGTTGAGTATCAACCTGTCAGTTACCATGTGTGCACGTTTTTCTGAAACACTTTTGAATAGCATGAAAGGTATTCATCCACCGATTAATCTAGCTGACTTTCGAGCTTCAAGATCTGAAATAATAGTAACCATGTTTCAACCAATCAGACTGCAACAAATATGCACATTTGTTTTACGATGTAAAACCTAAATGCAAAAGTACATAGCTTCAGATGCACTATGTATGACATTAATTATTGATATGACTTTCTACCCTTTATCACCAGCCTTTGCACTTCAAATCACAGAAAGCTGAAATCATTGAAATGAAATCAATGACATGATTGTTGTGTAAGCATGGTACATCTTGGGTGGGTGTGACGCTATGTAGGAAGACTGCTCCTGTACAAACTTGTGATTACTTCTCCCATCCTCATCCATGGCACTACAGTCCTGCACATCTGCAGGCTTCACATGGGGATACTCAAAGCCCACCTCACCATTGCCAAAGAAGCCCACTAATGGCGTGTTGGGAAAGTACTTTCGAAATACAGTTGACTCCACATTGATCTCCCCGTAGTGGTTTTCTCCTCGCCCTACACAGGCAAACATGAACCCAATACTGTTCTTCTCCGAGAGTTTACTGTCTTTCAGTTTCTTCATGATTCTGTCCACCCCCTCAATTGTGTTTACGTCATCCTTGATAACAACAGAAGCGACCTGCACTCTGCCACAGAAAGCCATACAGCACAGGAATGGGGAGTCACGCCTGCAATGAAAGTTAATCCTTGTTTAAAATGAGTGAACAAGTGAGTGTGATATGCTGGAGACATCAATATTCCAGCTACCATGAGTGAACATACAATCAGGCATACAAATACATGAAACCATGAATCGGAGACAATGACACAACAAATCATTTGAAAATTGTTATAATAATTTAAACCAGTTATTCCACATGTAACCAATATTCTGCCACAGATACTTCACAGGATCTTATATATTAACAACCCATGTGACATCTTGTTGAATAATAACTATTTTTGCCACTCACATAAGTTCAATATCAGGAAAGGTCTATTAAGATGACCTAAACATTCAAGAGTTATCTCCCTTTCTAACTGCATTGTTTCCAGATACAGTATTTACTTCTATGTAGAGCTTAAATATGTTAAATTTTGGATTTGTGTCCATGTTATGAGGGAAATGGCTTACTGAAAATGTCAAAATCCAAATATAACTGTTGGGGCTGCATTTTGGCAATTGTCACCAGAAATGGGCTTCACACATTGTACCCATGTGGACAAATTGAACCCGGGCCTTTGGCCTGACGAGCACACGTTTTAACCACTAGGCTATCCCACATTCCCTAATCAAATCTGAATTACATTAAAAAAAGAAGATTGAAACAATGTCATTCAGTGATGTATTATCAGCCTGGTCACAGTGCCTCGAGACCTGATCCAAATTTCATAAAAAGATTTAAAAAAAAAATGTATTGATTGTTTTGCAGCCCACACTCTTGCTGGTTGAGGTTAGAGATGAGAAACACCTAAAAGTAATATGGATGGCCAAATAACAAGCAATAGAGTGCATGCGACTCATAATATAACAATATACCTTATTTAGATCAAAATGTTACTTACGAACTATCGTTTAACCAAGATGACGGACACACAACATTGTCAACAAATCCACCAGCTATCATTGGACACTTGTACATCTTGTATAAGGAGAAGCCAATTTCTTGTGGACAAAATGCTTCATCAGAGAGGAAGATGATGCTTTTCACTTGTTCATTAGAAAGCTTTTTGTCAGTATTATCAATGACTGTTCGACTTGACCAGTAGTTAGCAATCTTGTTTCCTTCATCTTGATCATAATACAATGGCTGGATTCTGATGTTGCTGAACTGGGAGAACAAGATGAGAGATAGACATCGTTTGCCTTCCATCTCCTCTGTGACTTTCATGTCCGTGCTTGTACCTGCAGCACATACACAGGTACTTTACTTATTATTACTTCCTGTTGTTGACACAGAACAACTGACATGGAAGAAATATATTGCCATTATATTGCCAGTTATATATGACAAAAGTGGACTCTGACTTACCTGGATTCTGTCAATACCAAACCACATCTACAGTCCTGAAAATGGATTGACATATCAAAACAATACATCCTTGTCTTGATTAGATATTTCTTTGTCTCCTGTCATAATCTCACCAATCCAGATCTGTCTAAACCAGACAAATTGTGGTCAAAAGCCTTCCAGTTTGCACAAATTCCACTGTATTTGAAGGTGCACTTGGGATCAAACTTTCACATCAGATTTCTTAGCTTGTCACCAAGAATATAATTTGGAATAGTTGGTACTAGCTGGAAGGTTCAAATGCTGTAACATATTATTTATCTTCACAGAAATGCAGACTACTGTCAGTTATTGTCCATACAACTATCAACTATCCATACAACTATCAACTATCCATACATGTCCATGTCAACTGGAACACCTAATGCACAGGATACAGAAACAAATCAGCCATTCTGCTTAATATTTACCAAACCAGAAATTATGACATAATATTCATTTCCCATAAATGCTTCTTGTTTACATTATTCAGTCTGTATGGTGTGTGATGATCTGGTGGAAAGGTAAACGTGAGCAATTTTTCGATGTTTACAACTTGCTGAAACAATTTAGAATAGATCAGTTTCTGACATATCTAGAAACATATTCAGAGACACGTTGTCCATCTGTGCTCCCACTTACATTAAGAAATAATCACTTAGAGGGCCAGAACATATCTTACCAACGATGCCGTCTGCTGTTATTGCAGTAACCCTGCTCTTTGGAGGCAGCAGTTTCTGTAAAAAGCTATTGACAGTTAAATTTTCCTTATTCTTTGATGCACGATGTCGAGCATGCCGTGTGTTTTTGTTCCTTTGATGTTCGATCTTCTCATCGTGTAGATTTGTAGAGCATATGATGAATGAAACATGGGGCTCGATGTACAGGTTCTGAAACATTGCAACATTGATTATCTTACCTCACACATAAATGTCGTTTTCTGATTGGCTGTGCCAATGAATGTACCCTGCTTACAAGCGAGTAACATTCTCTATGTTACCCGCTGGAAATGCCGAACTGTGACAATTCGTTTGGTACTTTGTGTTAGTAGTGTTTGGGCTGTTGCCTATTTTCGGTACTCCTTATTATGATCCAATATCTGTGCTTTAAACAGTTCAAAATTAACATTGAGGTGTTTTACAGCAACCCATGTCCCCCCTTGTGACCAGTGAACAACTTATAATGTTACCTTCCACTGCAGTCAACAATGTCACACTGGCTGGCAACTTCTTGTGCTCCAGATCAATGCCCATTTGAGAAAAACTAAAAGACCTTGGAATGTTTATCTCCTCAAACCCAACCGACCAAAATGTCCCTGGTAATCACTTGATGTTATATCTGATTTAGTTTGTACGTAAAACTTTACACATTCTAAACACCACATAGATATCTCTAGCCCGTAGTGTTCAAATACAATGAGTGAGTGAGTTGGGTTTGATGCCGCTTTTAGCAATATTACAGCAATATCTTGGCAATGAACACCAGAAATGGGCTTCACACATTGTACCCATGTGTGGAATCGAACCTGAAACTTCGACATGACAAGCAAACACCTTAACCACTAGGCTATCCCACCGCCAATCAAAGAGAATGAAAGTTCCATTGATATTTTCTACATTTGTCAACTATTACTGCTATCAAACTGAAATGTGGGTTGCTGGATGTAAGATCACTACAAGGAAATCACTTCCTGCATCCGTCTCAGTGACAGGGAACAAAGCAGTAGCTTGGTTCACAGCAAAACTCACAGCAGTCTCTGCTTTAAAAATATATGTCTAAAATAACCCAAATTCAAGACAACACATACTAATTCCAGAGGTTGTTACCATCAACAAGTAAAAATGAATTTATCTAATATATTTTGTATGTTTGAGAACGTAAGGAGACTGATCCAGTCTAATACACAACAGGTAAGTTCCTCATTCCATTCCTCAAACACACTAAGCAGGAACAGAACCTCATCACTCATTTGATAATTAAACACCCTTGGCTAGGCAGCCTGAGGTCTTAATTCACAATCAGTTGAACATACTAGGCTACTGATCATTGCAATAGTTTATTTCTTAAACATGCTGATAAACCTGCAAACTGTTCATTGTGTTGGAATATGTCTATAAATACCTCCACGAAGGCCTCCATTTCCCTTATTAGGCTCTCCAAATCTGACCCCTGCTCGGACTCAGCACATTTAAAGTAGTGCCAGGCCATACCACTTCGCGTCTTCTTGATATTTTCCACTTCTTGGGCCCAGAGTCGGCAGACTCTGAAAAACAAAAGGTTTCACTGCTTCTGTTCTATATAAAAGTGAGTGAGTCGTATTTTATGATGCTTTTAGCAATTTTCCAGCCATATCAGCATGGCAGGGGACTCTAGATAAAAGAATCCTAACACACAATAACAAACAAATACAGCATGATTGCTAGCTCTTGTTTGTATGCTGTTTAACGCCACACTCTGGAATATTCCAGTTGCATAAGCTGTGAACCCAATTATAACATAAGATAATTCTTTATTATCCCAATAAAGTGAAATTTGTTTTGCATCATATGCAGTTCTCCAGTTTTTCTTTCATAAAGCAGCCATAAATAACATTGCAAATGGTAATCATAAAACTATTGTTTAAAATAATCAGGATATAAATACATCAATTTAGTACACAAACATAGATATTGACTAGAATATGGACAATTGGAAGACAAGTCATTCACTGAATTTGTTGTTAATACATCTAATACTAGCTGGAACAAATGAGTGGCGAACCCTGTTTGTTCTAAAAGTCGGCATACGCAGCCTGCGTCCAGAAGGTAATGATGAATATTCAGAAAAGAGTATGTGAATAGGATCACTTAAAATTGTGTTGTCTTTTTTTAAATTTGCTGCTCATAACAACTGCCGATACTTTCGATAGGAAGCCAAATAAGTTTAGATGCAGTGTTTATGATTTTTAGAGTTTGTTTTTATTCTGGACAGACAGGTTCCCGAACCAACTCAAGAAATTAAAGGTTATCACACTTTGAATAAAGGTTTTGTAAAATAACATCATGATAGTTTGGTTGATTTTAAAATGTTTCAACTTCTACAAAAAATGAAAGCGTTGTTGTCCTTTTTTATATATTTTCTCAGGGTTTTCGTTCCCAGGAGAGTTTTGAATCTAAGACAGTACCCAAATATTTGTATTCAGTTACTCTTTCGATTTCATTATCTTCAATATTTACAGCATTTATTGTTGACTTAGCTTTTTTAAAATCTATGATCATTTCTTTGTTTTTTAGCACATTCAAGAATAAAAAGTTTGATTTACGCCATTCTACAAATTTTGACATTTCAGCTCTGTAACTAAGTTCTGATTCCCTAATAAGGCCTACCAATGCAGCATCATCCGCGAATTTGACTGTAAAACATGTTTCTGTGTTGGATACACAGTTATTGGTGTACAATATGAACAAAATTGGTGAAATAACGCAACCTTGTGGAGCCCCAGTTGATGCGTTTACAATTGATGATTTCACATTATTAACCTGTACAAATTGTCTGTTCACAGAAATGAATTAATCCATTTGATGATGTTAGAATTAACATTCATTTTGAAAAGTTTATCAACAAATGAGGTTGAATAGTATTAAAGGCAGACGAAAAATCAACAAACATTATTCTCACATAAGTACCATAGTTTTCTAAATGCTTACAGACATTGTTTAACAGAGTGATTGTTGCATGATCTACCCCACTCCTTGTTCTGTATGCAAATAGTAATGGGTCAAGAACATGGCCGACTTCATTCAAGAATAAGATCGTACTGGTCTGAAGTCATTATTAACAGAGGGATTTATTTTTTTGGCAATGGAATTTTAGAGGTTTTCCAAAGAATGGTAACACTATGAGAGTTAATTGATATCTGAAATAGCTTTTGAAAAATAACAGCCAGCTGCATTCTACACTCCTTAAGAACAATCCCAAGCAAGTTATCAGGCCCACAACATTTATGTGGATTTATCTTAGCGAATGAATTAATCACATCATCTGTCAATATATTTAACATTTCATAACGTGGAAGCGATTCCAATACAAGTTTCTTTTCATCTGAAAAATTCCCAGTATCAAATCGGGAGTAGAAGGAGTTTAACTCATTTGAGAAAGATAAGTCATCGCTGGATTCCAACTGTCGAGGTCTAATATTTGATCCAATGATAGTTTTTATGCCACTCCATGCATTACTTAAATTGTTTACCGAAAATTGTCTTTAAATCTTTGTTTTGTATTCATCTTTACATTTCCTTGTTAAACAAGCAATCTCTTTCTGAATCTCTTTAACCTTGACCTTGTCCCCTGTACAAAATGCCACGATTGATAGAATGATACTGTCAGTTTCATCAACGATCCATGCTGTTTGGGTAGGAATTAGACTTTGACTCATGGTAGAACTGAGATCATTTAACACATCTGACAAAATCAAATGCTGAATGCAGACATATTCACCATCAACTCAACTGATCTGGGACAAAGGAATGCTGCAGTAGGATTTTCTGTGCAATATGCCGCTTTTAGCAATATTCCAGCAACATCATGGCTGGGACACCAGAAATGGGCTTCACACACTGTACCCATGTGGGGATTCGAACCTAGGTCTTCAGCATAACAAGCTACTGCTTTAATCACTTGGCTACCCCACCGCCCTTTCTAAAATTGAAACTGTTTCCATTTGTGTGAAATAGAATACAAACTGGTTACTGGTGTGGTGACATGCATCTGGCAGTTGTGGCCCTTGCATGAATCCTCTCATAGAATACATAAGTTTCAATGGTAAGATCAAACTTACAACTGATACTGACAGAATACTCTTTAGTTTAACTTTGGTGATAAAATGAGATGTAGTGCTTGTAATTAAAGCCAGAACTTAAAATAATGGTAAAGTGAGGTTAATGATGAACTTATCACCAGGAAAAAAGCAGGAAAAGATCTTGGATGTTGGCGGCAACTGTCTTTCTGGAAATTATGTTGGGCCATTTACAATGTTTACTGGATGGTTCCCTTTTGATGGGTGGTAAACACAAATACTGACCACAGTCCACAAACTTGACACCATTTAAATTTATTCAGAATAATTTTTTACTGTGTCAAACAACTGGAGAAGAAATACCACACTACTGCTGAACAGTTGAACAGCTGTCCAGTGATGAATTGAACAGTGTTCAAGGTATATGGTGGCAAGTCGGCTCAATGTGGGAAGAAGTGATGCAAGACTGAGACATTTACCACTTACTTACACCCACATACTAAGGTTCTCATCATTTCATACTTCTTGCCTTCACACATAACCTGGGTGAAAGTGGATCAGAGATCTTTGACACCAGGGATGCAACTCTTATCCCCAAACAACTTGACAATTTTCATCTCTAAAAACAACTAACAACAGTACGTTCACATTGTCAAAGCCTTCAGGCACAGACTGACTGGTTACGCCAGAGATTCAGGAGGGTAGAAACAGGAAATGACCACAACTTTGTCCTTAGCCAAAAACGGAGGATTATTTATATCTCTTAGTTATCTTTATTCAGTCAGACACAATCAATGTCGTGTATAATACAAAGTACAATGGTACCATCAGGATACAGATGTCATATTGTTTTGTGCACAGCGACGAAGTCCTGCGTGCAGAGACCATATCTATTATGCGTGACAGTTGAAGGACCTCAGTTGAGGACAACATCCGGCACTCAAGGAACAACACCAAGCAATACAGAATGAAGATATATATTCTACATTAATAAGAACTGTCCATTTGAAAAAGCTCACATAGCCATTACCTAGCACATTTCTGAAGTGTTTTCATTGGAATGCACGAGAACACATTTTTTAAGATGATGGGGTTGCTCAAAACTTCTGAGCATGAAATCTGAAAATCCATCTTATCCGTCGCCATTTTGGTGGTCATGTGTTGGCGCACATATTTGTTAACAATATTTATTTTAGATATGTGTACGTACACAGTTGATAACGTAACTATTTATTATAGGACTTATTATATATAATTGGGTAACTTCTACACGTATATTAAGAAAAACTTAAGTCTTTGTAAATATTAGACTGGGTGCCTATCTATCGCACTTGTAAAACCACTAAGCTTGTATCGCATACCAGCAATAGTACCAGTCTATATAAATATGGTTTGGGACAACACATTTCCTCTCAAATATATTATACAAGATAAAAATCACAACACGTCATGCAACCGATGTTAATCTGAATAATATCGAATTTACATCTGTGTGTTTTAATACACGTACATACTATTAAACTCTTTTTATTTCATTGTTGACAAACAAGACGAGTAGAATTTGTATTTAATGTTATTAGTTCTTTTGCCAATAGTCCGCATTCGGTATTCATTCGGCACAACTCGGAATACACCATTTTCCAGTGAAACTCCACACCAACGCGTGCTTCTCGTAGCGATATTAGCAGTAGCTAATAGCTAATATCGTGGTCTGGAGCTTACGACCTACTCCGACTAAAATAATTACGAGCAGCTCCGAATGTGTTGTTTTCATTGCCGACAAAATGGCTACCAAGAGAGCTTTTATGGAAGCAGTGTCGATGTTACATATCGACTCTAATAATTAATAGAGCAATTATCAACTCAGAATGGGTTCTGGGACGAGCACCCAGGTTAAAACTATCCACCGTGATTCAGAAAATGGTTACAATGAGACAGAAAGGTAAATTATGCGATACATTTCATGGTCTCCAAGTACAAAATTCCGTAACAGAAAATCGATGGTGTATTCAAATTATAAAAGCACCCGGTAAAGTGCAGTACTCCCCCAATCTTGTAAAGCAGTACAAGTCTGTGTTCCCTGCGTCATTTTTTGAGTGGCTTTAAGCCGATATCTTCTAGCATCTTAGTGACACTAGTGATTTGTGATTTTTTTTTAAGTCTGATGTTATGAATCTGGCTGCTCGTCGTTGTGCTCTCTCTAAAGATGTAATGTCGACTTGATAATAGGGGTCCCATATAGTTGAGCAATATTCCAGTACTGATCTTACAAGAGACTGATAAGCTGTAATCTTTAGTGTCTTGGGACACTGACGTAAATTACGTCTCAGAAAACCAAGAGTAGGTTTTGCTTTGCTTTAATATGTGTATTCCACTTGAGGGAGTTACTGATGATTACTCCTAGATAAGGAACTTTTTCTAAGATGGTGTTACAAAGTTGATAGATGAAGGTGCGTGGGGACTTTGATCTTGATACCCTGAGAATATAACACTTCTTGGCATAAAAAGACATTCCCCATTCCTTGGCCTAATGTTCCAATGAGTTGAGGTCCGCTTGGAATTGATTATGATCCTCGAATGTGTTCATAGCTCTATAGAGTAGGTTTTTTTTTTTGTGTGTGACGATTTAACACGTAATGTCCTCAACTGAAACAGACAAAGAAAACCCAGAGGATGCCTATCAGATGCAATTGTTAGGAAATATCCCAGATGGTTTTAATAAAGTATCCCATCAGCGCAAGCATTTTTGGAATTCTGATATGTGGATAGAATGACCACTGAGATTGATATGGATCCCATTCATGTACCGTGATATTTAATCATGCTATGTAGTAATGTCATGTTAATTGACCAATAATACACATTGGCCCACACATTTTATTTAATTGAAGCTAGAAACTTGATAAATCCAATTTTGCCATTGCTATAACCTAAAAACCCACTTATGTAAATATATACATACAATTGTTAACTTAAATATACAGCAAATGCATGTACATTTTCATGCAACAATGAAGTTCTTTTGGTATCCACAAAACAATAACAACCCTTCAATATTTTAACCAGTCAAGAATTCTGGGATATCATCCGGTTACCCACCGAAAAAAACAAAACAGTAACAAAAGCAACAACCAGTACTGGGAATTCACCTGGTGTCTTTAAACACAAGGTTGTTCTTAAATTTGTCATCTGGGATAGATAACTAAGTTAGCTCTGCCTCCATGTGTAGTGTTATAGAGTATAATTGTGGCCTGAACTACTGAGTCCTGGTGGTTTACCTGGTGCTGTGTTATTGTAGAAACCTCTTCCTTGTCTCATTCTTCTAATCAGGAACTTGTGTCCATTTCTCTACTTTAATCTGATCAGTTAAAATGCTTGTTTGGTGTTTTAGAGAAGCATATTCATTTTACAACCTCAGATGAGTGTAACCTGTTGTCAGTATTAGAACTGCATGTATATATCCAAGCATGGATACAAGGTAGGGTTTGTGATTGCCAGCTAATGCTATGTTTAGTTTGATCTATGTTTGCTTGTTTTAGAACTGCATGCAAACAGTTCCCGGCGACACCTACAGGAAGAAGTGACTTGGTAAGTTATTCATCATGCAGTTTTTCTTATATTGATGTTAGACTGTAGATATGAATGTGGTTAATTTGATTGAGGTCATCCGTGACTCCATGAAAAGGCAGTATGAGTGAAGATGGTGAACAATTGTAATGGTGTTATATTTCTGAACTTTTTCCATTTATATATTCATCGACATGTTTTTGTGACGATTTCTCTGCAACATTGTCATGTTTGTTTTAGGATTGATTATGTCCATAATAATGATAATAATAACTATACATCTATGTAGTGTTAGTATTCAGTAAACTACTGCACAAAATCACTTTGAGTCAGAGAAACGTCATGGTTGGCAAATCAAACAAATCTCTACGCTTATGGGTTGTTCCGAACAAGTACAAAACATTTTCAACATATGGTAGGTTAATGCAGGCATGGCCTGTTTGCTTTGAGGAAAATAAGGGAGTGAGTGAGTGAGTATGGTTTTACACCACTTTTAGCAATATTCCAGCAATATCACAGTGGGGGACACCAGAAATGGGCTTCACACATTGTATCCGTGTGGGGAGTTGAACCCGGATGTTCGGCATGACGAGCCAACGCTTTAACCACTAGGCTACCCCACTGCCCCTGAGGAAAATAAGAATTTCATACCATGATTATGTTTGGTGACCATGGTGATGTGACTCATCCCATCCATGTCAATACATTATTCTGATGATAATGTTTCAGAAAACTGAAAATGGAACAAATGAAACCTTTCTACTGGACGCAAAGTCCAAGATCAAAGATCTTGAAACACAGGTAATTATATTCCAGAGCCCCGTTCCTCAAAGTGATGATTAATACCACAATTGTCTGAAGTTAGTGTTAAAGTATGGAACTTGCTACATTTTCTTTGTGGAACAGGGACCTGCACTGATAATAAGATGTTCATAGGTAACTCTGCTTTGATATATTGATAGAAATGCGTGCACTTCACAGAAGATAATATTGGTACAAACTACAGCTGCACAATATGAGTGATCTTCTCAAGTCGGTATGCAAGTATTGTATTCGAGAAATGTTTCTATGATGGTTACTTTCCTAGGATAATAATATGGGGGAGAATAACATTAATTAAATAAAAAGATAAAAGCGAAATATTTGTCAGTGTAGTGTGATCAGGTCATGGGGGCTGTTCCCCTTGCCTGCATTCTTCTTATGGTTTGTATATGCAGTTCATTCACAAATCAAGGGACAGGGTATAATATACATATATATGTACTTATCGGTTGTTCTGATGATATTGTGTAATATAGCATTCTCTAACAATATCTGTGAGCCCATCTTAAGTTTAATCTTTCCATTCTACATCCTTCCAATTTTTAAGATACTGACTGCAATTCATGATGTTAGTTTAGTCCGAGAGATGTTTTGCAGCTACCAGATAGTAAGTCTCAAACTTGATACAGGAGTTGTGTTGCTCTTGCAGTAAGCAGCGAGTGAGGATCACAGCTGGGGTTTTTTTTGCAGCTGGCAGAGAGTGAGAGTCAACAGCTGGACCTCCAGGACCGGATACAGCTGCTGGAGGAGAGGCTGGCCGAGCAGCTGCAGGAGGCTGGTGGTGGAGAGGAGGTGTATACAGAGACACTGCAGGCCAAGGATCAGTACATCTCCAAGCTGGAGCTGGAGCTTCAGGCCTTACAGCAGGAGAACAGCAAGATGGTGAGTTGTAGACTTGTAGATACAGTCATCCCTTGTCTCAGTGCTCCACATATATAAGGTCACATTGTGTGGCTTTGTTGACAGATGTTATCTTGCAATGCTTTCTCTTTAAGAATTGAAACATAATTGTTGCCAATGTTGTTGCTAGTATAATTATGTCCAGGGATTTATTAAGGATTTCCAAACAGATCCTTAGCATAAAAAAGAATACAAAACAAACTATGTACGTTTAATTACAGCACCAGTAAGTAACAGAAGTAATAGGTATTGTCACAAGGTATATAATATCTTGTTCTAGGTACAGGTTTTTCAAAATAACTTCTAGATGTTAGTCAACATTGTGATGATTTAAAAATAACTATGATCAATATGCTTTGGTGCACGACCAGCACATTTGTTTCTATAACTGAGAATATTCAGGGAATGCAGCTGTAACACAAATCATATTAAGATAAATCCATCCTTTAACATCATCTTCAGAAAATCAAGCACAAAAAGAAGATGAAGTCGTTGAACTCACAGGTGACGGAGACGAGGCAGGAGATGTCGATACAGACATTTGAGCTGAGGGAGGAGATCAGTAAACTCAAGGAGGAGAACAACGCACTCAAGAGTAAGACTGTTGTATTCTAGCTGCAGTTGTAGGCTTTCTGCATGGGCCTGTCTAGAAAAGGCTTCATTGTAAAATTAATACAATACTAATTTGATCATTTGTACCAAAATTTCATTTATACTCATGGTTTGGTGCATGGTCTGAAATCTGCTGATAAAAAATATTGAAATTGTATGTCTTTTATAATGTCTATTATCAAACAGCCATTTCTGGATATAATATACCAGGAGTGATAAATGGTCACCGGAAGTATGTACCCAACTCGCATCCATGGTTGGAATCCAATCATCGGACTGTTATGGCTGTTACAATGGCAACATGGGGTTGAAAATGTCCACATTTCATTTGGGCAAAATAGGGTCTCAGTATGCTACTGAGTCCAGGGACATTCCTACTGATGACATTCTTACTTGTAATCTAACTGATGAGATTAATCTCTTGGTCATGTGGACAAGGTGTTCACATTCAATCAGAAGGTCAGCATTTTGAAACCTGTCACAGGAATCAGACATTTTATGGGCTCTACATATACATTGTTGATGGTAGAAGGTGTTTATTATTTTAAATTTGGTGATTTTCTTGTTCCAGACAAACTTGATGCCCCCTCGTCAACTTCTGGCGACACAGCTGTAGGGCTGACAGGTGAAATAAGCAGCCGTATGACCTTGATCCTGGACCTGTCACAGCAGCTGTCGGAGCAGGAAGACAAGATAAAGAAACTTGAGGAAAGTGTGCAAGAAAAGAATAAGACAATAAAAAAGTTTCGAAATGCTCAGTCATCAAATGTTGACAAATCTTCAAAACTTAAAGAAGATGTGCTGGTGTCAATGTCTTGGGATGAAAATACAGAGGTTCCGAATGGTTCTGAGTTTATGACATCAGGTTGGCATTGTGTAGACACTAATACAAGGATTCCATTAACCAAACTGAAGACTGGTTCTCTGGCTCCTGTAGAAGAATGTAACAGTGAAAATGACAGGAATGACTTTAGCACAAGTAGGGACTCAGGGATTGGATCTGCCGGAAAGACAAAATCGGTAAATGATTCTGAGAATTTAAAGTCGAAAAGAATCAGCTCTGCATCTAGTTTGTTGTCCGGACTGTGCTATGACTCTGACTCTGACTGGGGGTCTGATTCCACCACAGCACCACCCTACAAAGTTCAGAGTGCTCCACCAGGGAAACGATCTCCCCATCTGCTACCCCCTCGTCCTAGAGGAGATTCAGGGGGAGATAACTGGAGCATTGACTCAAGAAGTGGAACACCAAAGAGTAAATCAAAGAAGAAATCTGTTCTCAGATCCAAAGCTGATGCAAAACATGTTCATGATACCCCTGGACAAAGACCTGAATTGCTGGGACCAACCCTCGCCTTTACTGAGAAAACCACAGTAGATTCATACTGATTTTCAAACCCAGTTGCAGAATTTCTCAGTGACATTGGGTGTTGAATGTGTTGGCTTGTAAAGACCTGAGATAGACAACAGAACTTTCTGTAAATGACTGATTGGTGTGAAACCATATACTAGTACTCACCTATTTTGATAAAACTAAAACCCAATAAAGTTCAAGTGTTATGTGTGGGTTTATGAAAATAATTACAAACATTAAGGATATGTTTTGGAAGATCAGTTACTTTCATGTCGTTGTTGTCTTTTACGGAAAAACAAATGATGTATTTCAGAACAGATATTGTAACAGCAGGGTAAGCCTTTGATAGACAGTTAGATTTTACAAGAACATGAAGACCATGATGAGACTTTAATGGATAGAACATTTCTGTTGTTTGTAATGACATTTCACTGTTGTCAGGGCAACTTCCTGCCCCTTCATCATCTGTTTCCTGTCTTTATTAGTTGGTGTGTAACTGGACTTTGTTTGCCACTGTAGTCTATATGCAGTGTTTGTTGAATGGTTTCTAGTTGGTTGCCTTGGTTACATATATACCACTTGCATATGTTAAACAATACACTTACATTTATGTTGTAGTGGTGGTGGAATTGGGTTTAATGTCATGCTTGAGAATATTTCGCTCATATGACGACGTGCATGCGTGTGTATGTGTATGTGTGGCTGCTTGTACTAGCCCAGACTGAAGCTGGTTTCATAGTGCTAGCCCACTGAGATACCACGCCGCAGTGAAGCATGAATACCCTACTGACTCCGAGCCGACCAGACCTTGTTGTACCCATTAATGCCGAGCGACAGACAGGGACCAACAAGTACCATATTTTAACATTTTGGTATGACGCAGTCGGGGATCGAACCCGCCACCTTCCCCACTCCAGGCGGACGCTCTAACCACTACACCACGGAGGCGGTCTTTATTTTGTAGGATCTCTGAGGAGATACAAGGTGATCTACTTTTTCAATTGAATGTAATGTTTACACATCCCAGTCAATGTGAAACATTCACACAAAATATCTGCTTTAATGTGTTGAAACAAAAAGTAGCCTTGTGGTTAAAGCATTCGCTTGTCACGCAGAAGGCCTGGGTCCAATTCCCCACACCGTTTCAATGTTTGAAGTCCATTTCTGGTGCCTCCATCTGCGATATTGTTGGAATATTGGAAGTGGTGCAAAACGGAACTCACTCCTTCAATGGTTATGGGCCATGTTAGTTGTTGGAGAGACAGTTTACAGGTTATCTTGACTTGGAGTTTAGTATACCTATAGTATTTCACAAAATATCTTCTTGGGACAATTTAAAAGTTTGCTTGATAGAGTGGTTGACTTATGTATCCATTAAACTGTGTACTTTTGCCTGAATATACATATTTATATTATTTACACTCTATAAAGGTTGATTCCAGTGATTACCATTGCCAGATTTTATGTTTACAGAACAAAAGCAATGTGATGATTTTGTGTCACTGTTGTTTGTTTTGTTTGAGTCAGTATTAACATGCTTAACTGTATTTTGGTTTGCTCAAGAAACTATATTCATGGACACGTCCTTAACAATGGTTAAATTATGTCTATTTTTACATGGTTTATTCACAGAATTACAATAAAAATACTATTTTTGGTATATATTGAATCAAATAATGTTTTTCTTTACTACTTTGTATACCTGTGAAGATCCGGTAAGAATTGGTCTTCAGGAACCCGTGGTAAGACATGAATAAGGGATTGGGTGGTCAGGCTCGCTGACCTGGTTGGTCATGTATCTGAATTGCGTAGATCAGTGCTCATGCTGTTCATCACTGGATTGTCTGGTATGGGCCCGATTATTTACTGCCACGATATAGGTGGAATATTGCTGAGTGCTACATTAAACAACAAACAAACTTGAAACTGTGTGGTGTGGGGCTCATTGGTTTGTTAATGATCTAAGGGGACATAACTCACTGCTGGGCTAACAATTTACTTGCAGTCTGAGAGGAATACACAAACACGTATATCAACAATGCTGGGAAGTATGGTCACCGCGACTACGCCAACAATCTGATTGCCTCCAATAATGATTATATGTACCAGCACATGGGACCACATCAGTACCTAGTGTACCCACCCTTGCACCAACGACACCTTCCAGTCTCCTCATACTGGCAGTCAAGCGTCCAATTCCTACCATCGGAATCATCTGCCATTCCTCCAGGAGTGCCTACGTCAATTCCACCGTGTATTTTCTGAATGTCTATGTCTTGCCATGTCATTTTCAGTACTGTTGCCTTTTAAATCAGTTAAGAAAACTGTACCACTCATGTTATATTGGGGATTACACTTTCTTAGTAAAGTACAGATTCTAGTACTTTTTGGGTTGAGTCCCATCCGGGATTCGAACCCGCACCCTCAGAGTCAGGCACCTAATCGCCAGCACACAAAGTCATACGCCTAGACCGCTCAGCCACCGCTGACTTTGTGTGCTGGCGATTAGGTGCCTGACTCTGAGGGTGAGTGTTCGAGTCCCGGATGGGACTCAACCCAAAAGTACTAGAGTCAGTAAAGTGTAATCCCAAATATAACATATGTTACATTTGACCACTTTCTAAAATGGCATTGTGTATTTCATGTACTGCTCATATTGCAATTGTGCAACTTATACCCCAACGCTCTAAGCGTCTTCACAGCATGTGAACATGCGACCCACAGCTTTTGAGATATTGTGTGAAGCACGTGCTTTACATGTGCATTCCAGGATGCTCATAAAATTTAGGATATTGTAATTACGATAGCTCCTAGCTCCTATGAAAATTTTGTGGATCGGGATCCTAGTGTGATGAAAATACTCTTAGAATAGAATAAAATATACTTTAATGCCTTTTCAGAATTTGTGTTACATCAGCAGAGCTACTGACACATTAGAGAGATACCAAACATATTTACATAAATTCTTTGATTTAGGTATCTTCACATTTTTTTAAGAGAGATATGGTACTTGGAATAAAGGATGTACGGACTCTGTTAGTTTTTACAATTGGAACTTTGTAGCGGCGGCCTGAAGGGAGGAGGTTGTATTCCAAATTTAAGTAGTGAGTACGGTCAGATATGCTTTTGACAGCTTGATTCACCATTTGCCGCTCATATATTGATGATAAACTTGCAGTGTTAACAATTTTGTCTATTTTAGATTTGAGATGAACTGAGAGAGACCCGTACCAACAATGGAAGGAAAATGTTAAAATACTCTGAATAAATCCTACATAAAAGATGACATCACAGATGGGTTAATATTAAAAGATCTCAGTTTACGCATGAGATGAAGACGTTGTTGACACTTTTTTTTAACTCTTTCAAACCCATAACAAACACCTAGGTCATATTTTTCTTCTTCCAATATAATTCACAAAATGTTTCTCAAGCAAAGTGATTTGATCTCACTCATAAATCATTTTGCAGACTCTTACCAAGTGATCTAAAATGTTTAATTTCATGAAATAAGCTGCACAATTAATGAAAAACGTCTGTTTATTATTATTGATTTTTTGGTTTTGCAGCCCGCCGGTTATCTTGCTTGTTAGGTTAGAGAAACACTCAGAGAAGACACGGCTGGTCTAACATGGCAAACCGATAAAGTTTTGTAACCTGTGCTGCTCATGGGGTATGATAGTTCTTCTATAAGCAAACATGTACTGCTGTCCAAAACAAATTTACGAACTATAATCTCACGAGATAATGACGTCATAGTGACGGTCTATGACGTCAGCTCATTGTCGCATCCTACTGCAGCTGCGAAGGACGTGGAGTTACAAGCTCTCGTAAAATCTGCCAACAGAGTCTCAGAAGCGTGTATATTTTCTCAACACCGACCGGTTTCGTGATATTGAGAGTATGTATGTTTTATGTTGATTTCTCTGCATATTAACTGCGTAAATCTGTGCTATAGCTGCAGTTAAATATTTTAAGCAGCATGGTTGGCGATGCAGGGGGATAGAATTACATTGTTTCATAACATATTTCCTCAGAAACTCTTGTAAGGTGAAAATAACACCTAGTTTCGATGATAGAGTCATAAATGATAGAACATTTACTTGAAAGCGATTATTGTCAGTGTATAGCAAAGTCTTGAATCTTGTTAATTATTGTTCTGACGTTTGGTCAAAGTCCAAATACAATATGAATAAAACATAATGCTACTTTTTACAATATGCCGCGTTTTTAAACCAAAACTGATTATACCAGATTACTTATATCGATACTGTTGATCTTCAGATATAAGGATAGTTTCAATACTACTATGACGTCACGCTATTGTTGCGCCGAGCGTAGAGCCATCGTAAGCTGAGCACCGTCTCTCTTATCGCAAAGGGAGCCGGGAGCCAGTTTAATAAAGCTTTCTGGCATTTGACGTCAGAATATTGTTACATCACAGTTACGTTGACGCGAGATCTCGTTTGTTTATGACGTCACGACATTGTTGACGCATCTCTCTACGGAATTGCAACACGTATTGTCACGATAAAGATTTGCGACAATTATTTCCCTCATCACAGAGAGAATAGGTACTTCTGCTCCTCAAAAAACAGACCATACCATAGTAAGTAATATGGTTATCCTTTTATGAATTCTTATTTTCAAACATAACTATGTAGCAGGCCGTTCATCATCTTATAGGCGAACTTTATGAAACAGTGCATTTTTCTATTCCAGGACAAAGACTATCCGAATATTCTGCTAACCAGCATGGGTCGAGTCACTGATTGGATTGTGTCATCCTTGCAGGTATGTTGATTGGCAAAAAGCGGATTCACAAGAAGATGAGTTTTGGTCAATTATTGAACGAAACCCTCAGGTCAGGTATTATTCATCGTGCTAGTGGCGTGGTATTGTTACTATCACTATGTTGTACTCAAGAAATACATGAATTCGAAAACAGATTGAGTTCCCGTTCTGACATCTTGCCTTGCTTCTCTTCACAGTCATGTATATCGTGTGTATCTGTCAATGATGGAGACGCCAGACCGGCAAAAGCCAAGAAGAGAAAGCCACGGAAATTCCGGATGATGAAATCTGCTGCTGTCTCGCCACACCACGATTATCCTAAAGGTACAGTGTCCTTTGTCTCATGGAAGGTGTCCGCCTGAACAGTATTCCAGTTACGCCAGTGCATGTCATCTTGATGTGGGAGGATCCCCGAGGTGATGCGTGCCGTAGATGTATACTACTTAAGTGAATTTGGGAGGTTGGTCGTGGTGCTGACAAACCAAGAAAACATAACTCGGGCAAACCGAGATTCAAACCCGCCTTCATAAGTTTCTGGCGTGCCCAAGCCATGCTTATCTGGAGGGTGAATTGCAGTGCCTTAGACGACGGGGCCCACGCCCTTCAACATCAAGTTTCGTATTAATCTCATACATGACCACGGCTTTTTCCGATTCTACCGATCTCTTCCATAAAACAAGGTTTCACTGTCATAATGAAGCATGCTGATTGTCACATTTATGTTTATTATATCTTATTTGCATATTCAGATAAAACAACTGCCAAAGCTGATGTCAGCAGAACGCATGCAGGAGATTTCCCTTGTACTAAGGGGAGACCACTCCCAATGCCTTTCACCTCTGGATGTAAACGAAACAAAGTGGAACCTACCAAGGCTAACAAGAAAATAAAGGGAGCTCACCCATGCAAATGTTGCGTGAACACACAGCACGACCCATACAAGATCAAACTGCGTTTGTCTTCCAAACTTCACCAACATAATGTCGATGAGCGCGTGTGTACCACCGCTGGAGATAAAGACGTGGTGATGAAGAACATTGACCAGGAGGTTCGGGAGAAAGTTGACAGAATGTTCGGAAAGTCAGAAACAACCAGGAAATACACGAATAGATCAAACGGCAGCGTAGCAGCAAGAAAGACAAAGAAGCGTGGACTCCAGGCTAAGCCGATGGAATCAAACAATGTGCCAGGACATGTTAGAATCGAAAACCTACCACTCAGGAAGAATGGCACTGAAGACACGGAAGAGGTGCCATCCACTGACAGTGTATCTACGAAGGATAAAATGTCCCCATCAGCTGTAACGGGTGGAAACAACACTGATGGCTATTGCAGTCATGATGATGATGACGATGTCGTCATTGGCAACCCAACACCTGTGCCATATTCTTACAAACTGAACTACAGTATACCAGTATACCCAGATGATCATGATGATGATTACGATATCGTCATTGGCAACCCAACACCCGTGCCATATTCTTACAAACTGAACTACAGTATACCAGTATACCCAGATGATCATGATGATGATGACGATATCGTCATTGGAAACTGAACGCTAATGCCATGTTCTTATATACAGAAGTGCAATGTACCTTCAAACCAAGATGGTCATGGTTAATGTTTTAAGAATTAAAAGAACGAAGATTGTATTTTGTCACGATTTCGTTTTAGAAAACACGATTGGATTTGATTATTATAAATAATGATGGCTACAGAAATGAAGAATGCAGTATCTATACTGTTCCTGGTATCTTGTCATAATGGATGCACAAGAACATCGTGTTGTGTTCCTTGTTATCACGATTGATTAAACAATTGAAAATCATGTCCATGTTTGTCTGGCTATGACTGAATCGACGTGATTTGATTGTCTTGTTGCGTCTGTCTATACCTACTTCCTATCTTCACCTATTGGGATTCCAGGATGAGTGAGTGGATTTAAGAAGAATTTAGAGGGGTCACTACGAACGTATCGACGAAAACGTAGAGATATTTTTTTATCCTTGAGTGAGTTAAAACTTAATTTCGCATGGACATTATTTGAGCAACACAGCGACGAGACACACCAATTCACATTATGAATTCAAAATGATACTTAAAAGGAAATATACCCATTTGAACATTACAGTTGTCATATGGGGTCGCGTAAGGAAAATGCTTGATAAAATCAACCAATCACCACTAAGGCTTCAAACCTCGATCGAAGCATTGAGACAAGCAAAACCGATATCGTTAGGGATGTATAAATTTCTTCTAGCTTATTGTGGATATTTTATCCATACCATGTTCAATAGCATATACTGTCGAAGATACATTTGTGTTCGGTGTCGGTTATCTTTTGCTAAGGTAGATATTTCCACAGATATTCCAAACACGAGGGTACCTACTGTACCCTACAACACTTTTAGAAATGTGGCGTAATATTGAGTGAGTTTTTATCGTCTGTTTGAACAGTAGGTCAATAATATGACGGTGGGTCAGCTTTGGGTTGCTGGAGGCCTTATACATTATGATACCCATGAACACGAGTGCTAAAGAAATCAGGGCGAACCGGGACTCGAACCCACGTTGATAGGTGTTCGCACGCCTAGGGACCCAACTCACAGCAGTATCATTACATGGGAATTAAAGCTGGATGAAGACAGGTCATCTAAGCATCCCTGTACTGAAATGCGCCCCTTTGCCAGTTTCCAGAAACAGTGTTCAGTAAGGTATTAAACCTAACTCACTCACTCACTCACTCACTCACTCGTTTAACTGGACGACAGATGGGCCATCACACTTTGATACACACTGGTTGGGTAATTAGATTGGGAGGAACGTGGGCGCTGAACTATCTAAACAAACATCGCTATGGCACAATGGGACCGGCACAATAAAACGAGTCACCATATGGTTGAATTACTGTCGGTGTGACGTTAAATTTAAATTCACCCAGAAGCAATAAATCCATTGAACTTTATCTAATTTCTCAGCGTGAAACAGCCCAATATTTATTGCAGAGGTAGGTATTTAAAGGTCACATGCAACCAAAAAATCAAACATAATTAAAACACAATTATCACTTATTCATGACATATAATATGCTATGCTGATTATGAAAAAACAAATAAACAAAATTATAAGCGTATAATCGCAGATCAAAAGTGCAATATTTTGTACTTGGGTTTACCTCCCTCGAAACGAAGCAGCCGGGATACCGAACCCAGTCAGAGCGGGTGGGTGTGCACTCAAGTGTAACGGCTGGTTCATTAGCAGATGCCGCCTTCACAGCTCATTGTGTGTGTATATATAGAGATGTTGGGTTTTGTAAATACATGCTCATTTTTTGTGTATAACATTTTGCAATCAACAGACATCATAACATGTCATGTGTTCAAGTATCACACCTGCCTGTCTGTGTAATTACATAATGTGACAGAGACCAAACTCGGGCCATAAATCAATGCGTTTTGTTTATGGTGTATAGCCTGATTGGTGTTAAGTTCAAATTGCATGTGGTCAGTGATCGCAGTTGTGTATTGATTATTGTCATTAGCAGACAGGCAGGCAGACACACAGGTGTCAATAAAACAAGACATTGAGTTTTGTCTGTGACAGCGACATATCTATATCACAGTTAGAAATTGTGTCAACGCTAAATAATGACATTGCTTTTAAGCATCTAACTGAGAAAGTGACTTGGTAAGAAGAACGCGTGGTGAAATAGACAAATGAAATTATATAAACAGTTTATTTACTGTCATAACATATAAAAAGCTCGCGCCTGTGAGATATCAACAAAACATTATAAAATAGCTCACACCAAAGCCTTCACCGAGTATTCACTAGACAGCCCGCTTCCAAGTTGCGCGAACCTATTTCACTGCGCACGTGCTATGAGCGCAGCCCAGCTGTTGAAACCCGTATTCCCCAGAAAAGTCTGGGGAAAATTAGTGAAACGTTTGAACTCCGATTTCGCGCGTTTTTTTTCATCGCGTTATTTTTCAACTTTATAAGTTGAATTTGCATTTTTGACGCTTTGTTTCGGTAACTCCATACCGAAAGGTATCAGAATCTGCAAAGTTGTGTTTTACGTTGCATGTGACCTTTAACCATTTCATATTTATAGTAGGGACGTGAGGAGTAAATTGTTTGTTTATCCTGAAAACAAGCCAACACTGTTGCTGATCCCCGAAGTTAGAGATTAGGCGTAGTTGTGTGTAGAAATAATTAGCTTGGACATTATAGCTATGTCGAGAACCTGTTATAGACATCAACATCTTTTTATAGACATGGACATGAAAATCTCTCCAAGCTAATTAACACATCAACATGACTAAAATTGTTCGTTGTATGAAAATAACTTTTTTCCAGAATAAGTTGATAATCAATGTCCAGAAAGAGAATAACTGATCATATAATAGTCGTTGTTCTCATCGCCATCGCCGTTGTCGTCGTTGTTGTGGGCATCATCATCATCATCATCATCATCATCATCATCATCATCATCATCATTCATACAAACGCATGCCCGCACGCTCAGACAGACATGCATGTATCCATCCGTCCTTCCATACACGCGACACACACACACACACATGCGTGCGCGCACATACTTATCATCAGAGGGATGACTACTGTTCATGTATGTGGTTATTTTAAGGCCTCACTTCGACTTGTGTTGCCTTCTTGAACATTCATCGCATTTTAAGAGCCAGCTCTAATGGAAGGCATGGAACTTGGCGTTTAGGTCACATATTAACCTTGGCATTTGTTGCCTAGAATCGTGTTTATTTTGTCTATTCTGGCCATCGGTCAGTCGGTGTTAAGGTCAATGTTGAGTTGACCAACAAGAGCGAGTGTTGACTCGTTGCGGGTGTTGCAATATTGGTAAGGTATATTTACACGGTCAATAGTCCTCAGTAGCCCAATCTATAAACAACACAGACCGACCTATTCATACACGCCATGGTTTCTATGTTTTAGAGGCATGGGTATCATTATGTATACTTGATGCAAACGAACTTATTTATGGACTCAGGAAAAATGCAATGTCGAATCCCGTCTTTCAAATAGAGCGTCATTTGTCTGTACATTCCAGGTTTGTGATCTGACTGGACTTGTTGCCTTATTACAGTGTTTTAATTTTCTGTAAATGAACTTTTATAATCACACCCATGTGTAACTGATGATGTCAATAAGGCGGCTATTAGTACAATACTAGTGAGTACGTTACGTCATTGTTATGATTAAATCGTGGTAGTGTTAACTCGGAGTAGGATTGGCGTCGACTACTTGGGGTGTGTTCAACCTTCGAATTCCTCAGGGGCGTATCATATCATACAAAATTTAGATTGTGACTCGGGCAACTAATCGCAATGTTACCTGATAAATAGTTAGACTTGAAGAAATCGATCTGTCTTAAATTTATTATGGCCAACCTCCGATAAATGGAAAGGACGGATTTCTGTGCGATCATTTTTCATTAAACATGACGTTCACAAGAATACTGTTGAATTAGGGATGACTTTACCTATGTTTTGTCCAGAGTTTCATGTACACTACAGTTCAAGCAAATCATTTTCAATATTAGCTTAGGAGCGAAAGACTCAGGTTTTCAGTTGCAAATTTTATACATTAGCGATATTATTTTCGCAGAAAACCTTCAATGAGCTTATTTAATTTTACTCGAGAATAACCAATTATGATTTATTTCTTACAAACTGTTGCAAGAATGCAAAATAACTCGGTTTGCTTATGTTTTGGTTCATGTCATGATGAATCAAAATGTAGACTTCTTTAAAACCATATTCGCCTACTTGACTTTAAAACAAAACGTGATAAGAATTAAGAATGAAACTGAAATTTATTTCCAGGAACAATGTCTAAAAAAATGTATCACGGGTTTATGTACGAATATATGTGACGCAATTCATGAAGCAGGAAGAAAGTTTTCCGATTGTTTTATTCACCTTGGAGAGAACGATATGTCCATGTAGCTGTATATAGATCACACAACGTCCATTGTTTTGATTTAGTGCATGAGTAAAGTGCGTTCATCGACGCTATGGAAAGTACGAAGCTAACTATAACCGCTCCCAGTCAGATTGTAGCCACGTGATCGAGACTGTATGATGAAGTGGTGAGGACTTCATACAACAGCCAGTTTCCAGGGCTCACTGTGTCGAATATTCTTAATCGGGCCGAATCTGGTATACTTACTCACAATCAGCGGATCCTGGAATTGAATGGTTATACCACATGAACATCATTTGCCCAAGACTCTGAAGAAATCCGTACGAATAACTGTCAATGAATAATTGTCATACAATCATTCATTTATTATTTTTTTTAGTAGGAAATTAAATTGGCAATTGAAAAGAAATCTCAAATTTAAACAACGACATAAAATCGATTAATGTTAGGACCACCCACCACACACACTCATACCTGAAAGGTATGTATTAGTACAGCTGACACCAGCGTGTCTTATGTAATACACGTAGTTAACCTCCACACCTTCCACACGACATCGTATAATGTCACAAACATCAACAATTACATAATTCACCATACCGGCTTGCTACGGAAAGCAATATTTGCACGGAATCAGCACTGTATAATATACTTCTTGTGGCCTGCACCAATCCAAACAGCACATCCCTCCACACGGGACATCTTTCAGCAAATACACAGGCTTAAACTTTTATTTACATTGCAAGCAAAAAATTATCAGCTTGACATTCTTTTATTTTATACTTGAGTCTTTGTCGAT